ATCTTCCTCGTATCATTCATAGTTCACAATCTTTTCTCCTTTTCCCATTTCTTCCATTGGCCAGTCCTGCAGGCATGAAGATGAGAACAGATGCAACCTGGGTCTGAGTCATTCAGAGACCCCTCTAAGGGTCAGTTATTATTTGCCCCCTCACACTTAGGGAGATGGCAGCCTTCTCCATTTGTCAGGCATGACCTTGGGGTGTCTTTGTGTGCTAGGTGGAGCAGCGACTTTTCTGATTGGCTCGACTTTCATTGCTTTTCATAATATGATGTTCTGGAAAACCAAATATATTTCTGCTTCTTTCTTCCTCTCCACCTTTAGTGGATGATGTGTGAGTGTGTGTGTGTGTGTGTGTGTGTGTGTGTGTGTGTTAAGGGAGTTGGTCTTGCATAGGAAACTAGGAAACCTGAGGGCACAGGAGTGGGACAGCATCAGACTCAGCGGGAAGCCGATGACTACTGCCTTTGTGCTACTGTACTTTCACCTGATGCCATGAAAGGAGCCAGACATGCAAGGGGGACACTGACCCTCCTCAGAGAAGTCCCCATGTCCTTTTTGTACCTGCTTCAACACTTATGAAGCCCCTAGGTATCTAAACTTCCTGAGGGGCTGGGATATCCCAAAACTTGGAGTCCACAGCCACCCCCTTGCTCTCCATTTCTTTGAGGTCAAGCCTGGGGAATTGGAATTTGCTTCTGTGTCCCTGTGGTTGAGGAACACGGACTCCTTTTTGACATGGCCACATTCCACCCCAGAGTCAACTTGCTTCATCATTCATGGAAGGCACTATCCTGCCCTCAGGCAGATCATGGCCTAGTTGGAAGGAAAAACCAGGGCCCAGGGTGACACTCAAAACAGAATGTCAAAACAAAAAAGAGGAAGCTGAGTTACTGTGGGAACAGAGAAGACAAGTCTGGGATGCTTCTTGGGGAATCAGAGAAGGCATAGTTTGGAGAGGGGCATTCCCAGGAAGAATGCCTGTACAGCAGAGATGCAAAAAACTGGAAACCACGGGCTGTGTTTCACAATGGAAGTGGACAAGTGGGTCAAGACTGGCTGGCAGGAGGGGCACCTGGGTGACCCAGTCAGTTAAGCATCCAACTCTTGACTTCAGCTCAGGTCATGATTTCAGGGTCATGAGACTGAGCGCTATGTCAGGTTCTGTGCTGAGTGTGAAGCCTGCTTAAGATTCTCTTTCTCGGGGCGCCTGGGTGGCTCAGTGGGTTAAAGCCTCTGCCTTCGGCTCAGGTGATGATCCCAGGGTCCTGGGATCAAGCCCCGCATTGGGCTCTCTGCTCAGCAGGGAGGAGCTTGCTTCCTCCTCCCTCTCTCTCTCTCTCTCTGCCTGCCTCTCTGCCTGCTTGTAATCTGTCAAATAAATAAATAAAAGTCTTAAAAAAAAATTAAAAAAAGATTCTCTTTTTCCTTCTCCCTCTGCCCCTCCCCCCCTTAAAAACTAAAAAAAGGACTGGTCTGTAGGAACCTTGACCCTTCAGCTGGAGCTCATCTAACTGTCTAAGTGATCTCATTTCCAACCCTTCACGCAGGTCTGTTTGCCATTGAAAATATCCCACCCGTCTTTGCTAAGGCAGATGGGCAGGGCTGACAAGGAGGAGAGGGAACAGTTAGGGTGTCTTCAGGGGTTAGGGCTGAGGACAGCTGGAGGGAAGGAAAAACCACCTTAGATAGTGGATATTACCCCATGTATCCTATTTCTAGCTTTTATGGGGTGGATAGTGGAAGCTATTCATATCTTATAGGTGAGAAAATGGGCTTAGGAGAGAGTCATGCACAAAGTCACACAGGTGCTATTAGTCAGAGCTGGGATTTGAGCTGGGCTTGTTGTCAGGAGGCTCCACTGCCTCCAGCCTGTCCTTTCGCCACAGAGGGGAGTCTCTGCTGACTCAGGATTAGGAAGGTGCCTCTAGTCCAGGCCCATTTTATCAGCGATTTATAGTCTCTAAAGCGCCCTCCTCGATGTGATCTGGTTTGAACCACAGCAGCATCTCCTTCTGCCTTCTGATTGTGTTCACTTGGACAAACCCTTTTGCCTCCTTGAGTCTCAACTTCCAACCAGTCATATCTGGTTGTCGGCGAGGATATTCCTTGGGCTTCCTTGACCTGACACCCAGAGACTCCTTGTCCTTTGTCCTCTTTTCCAGGATCTCTGCAGTGACTTCTCCCCATCAGAGTTTAGATTTTTCTGGTTGCTCAGAAGCCCTTGTGTCCCACCATCCTGTCGGCCTTCCTCACAGCACAAGCATCTGTCTCCTCACAAACGTGACAAACTTCCCTGTGTTTCATAATGCCTTAGGAACTTGCTGAAGGTCATTATCTGATGTCCTCAACAAGGACATGTGATGACAGATGGAGCCTGGGACTCGGCCCAGTGAATGGAACTCGCTTGCTTTGCTCCGTCCGATCGGCTATGGACCTTTCCTTGAAAGAATCAAGGTGAAGCAGTGTGCACTGAGACAATTGCTAGCCAGGGAAGGTCACTCCAACTCCTCTCAGACACTGCCTTTTTATGAAGGCTTTTTATAGCCCACTTTCTTGGGAGCAACTTTTTTCTTAATTAAGAATTCTAATTTTAAAGTGAGCTCTGACCTCTTTCTTTACAGAATCATTCTAGTGCTTTGATTGCATTTCATGGGTAGAAATTAAGATCCTTTATGGTCTGCTATCTCTGTTTTCCTCCACGCCTAGTTGCCCACGGCAAACTGACACTTTATGGAGATCATTAATGGGTTATCCTGCTAGAATATCAATAAAGTTCTTTGGAAAGTTTTATCAAGGTGCTGGAAGGTGGTAAGAGACTATTATCCCCGTATTTAGAGACCCCTATGAGATGCGCAGGGTGTGTTTCAACATGGGTGGGGGCCGTGGCTAAATGATTTTTGAAGCAGGAGGGAGAACATTTCTTCACAGTGAATGTGAGGGAGAAAGCAAAGGGAACATAATGCCTCCTTAAGAATTTGAGGACTTTGGAGTTTGGCAAGGTCAGTTCTCTGCGTAGTTGATTTACACAGAGAGTTATTCTGGGTGTCACCCCTTGTGTCATACCTCAGGAGCCTACATGTTAGGGCTGTTGCAGGATGGTCATCTCTTGGACCCAACAACAGGACTAAGAAGCCTCCTCAGAGGCACAGAGACATGTGCACACGAAGGTGTTCAGCAAACCACTGAAAAGAACCTTGATGCCCATCAGTAGAGAGTAGGTGAATAATGAATAAATGAACGGGGACTCCATTTGACTATATGAAAAAAAATCTAAAATATATAACATTGGACAAGAAAACTGCCAAATGATAAAAAAGTTTAATATTATTTCTGTGCAGTTCTAAAATAAGTAAAACCACGTTTATTATTTATGGCAATAAATGTGTAGTAAAATATAATAAATGGTAAAAGAATGGAGAGTACCAAATTTAAGAATGGTTACCTCTGGAGCTGGAGGGAGATGAAATCTGGGAGGGGTTCACGAGGAACATCTATGGTTTTTTTTTTTAAGTGGTTTGTGGGTATGTACATTTAAATATTATTCATATTTTTGAATGGCTGAAATATGTTGTAATTTTAAAATTTGTCTTAAAAAGGGAGAATCAATAAATGCATAGATAAATAAATATATTAATTAAATTAAAAAGAGGGAACCTATTCAAAACAGTTTGGCCAATAGTTTCAATTTCTAACAATTACTAACCAGATTTTTCTGGGGCTGATTAGCTTGACTTACTGCTGTCCCATCTTTTGCCCCATCCAATTCATTGTGACTACCTCATCACGCTTGGGTATTAGCACCAGGGAGAAAATAAGAGAAAATATGAAACCCCTCATATTCCTACGTGTTTGTTGAGTGGGGAGTAGAAATTATGCACTGAAGGAAATCTTCACATTTTTAGCATATTTTATTTATTTATCACAATGCCAGTAACAAAGGTTAACTGAGACAAACTTGAATTCTGGGTGAAAGGACACCTGGGTGGCTCCGTCAGTTAACCGTCTGCCTTGGGCTCTGGTCATGATACCAGGGTCCTGGGATTAAATCCTGCATTAGGCTCCTTGCTCAGTGGGGAGCCTGCTTCTCCCTCTGCCTCTGCTGCTCCTCCTGCTTATGCACTCTCTCTCTCTCTCTTTCTGTCTGACAAATAAATAAGATTCTTAAAAAACTTTTAAAAATTTGAGTTTTCGGTAAATATATAAGGATCGCCTATCAGACTGAAGGGGGTGGGGACTGCCACTATGTAAACCTTACTGTAGGCCCCCATCCCCTCCGGAGCAGTGGTCATTTTTTTAAGATTTATTTATTTGTTTCTAGAGAGAGTGCACATCTGTGTGGGCAGGGGGAGGGGCAGAGAGAAAGAGAGAATCTCAAGCAGACTCCATGCTGAGCACAGAGCCTGACGCAGGGCCGATTTCCACAACCCCGAGATCATGATCTGAGCTGACACAAGAGTCAGAGGAGCTCAACCAGCAGCCACCCAGATGCCCACAGGGCAGTGGTTTTGATGGCCTATTCTGAAATCAGTGTTTGCTTTGCATTAACAGCATGGCCGGACCCCCCTTCATCTTGCTGCCAATAAGGGCCATCTTTCTGTGGTCCAGATCTTGCTGAAGGCTGGCTGTGACCTCGATGTCCAGGATGATGTGAGTATAACCTGCGATAAGGCAGGAGGGTAGAGGATGCACTCCTAGCACTTCTTGGTCCCCTTGGTGGGAAGAACTTCCCCTTGAAGACCTGGGATCCATTCTAGGTAGCAAGCTAGAGTTTGTGAGGGTGGGGTGGTTTTCCCATCATGGTTCATGTCCTATTTAGTATCATCCAAGTGTAGAACCTCAGAGGGCATTTTGCCTTATCCTCTGTCAGTATGAAGGAGCATATATACCACACGTGCACACACACACACACCTGAGTGAGTGCGGGCAAGGCCTATTGGAAATATGTCATTGACCAAGCTTACCATTAAAAAAAAAGTAGGCCCTAAAAACTTAATATTTTCCTCTTCTCACCTTGATTTCTCTTAGTGTAAAGAGGACCTGTTCAAAAGAAAAAATAACTGATATCATTGAATCCAAGAAAAAGCAAGCCTCCTGAAAGAGTTCCCCCTAGTGCTATGCCTTTATTAAGACTCAGTCTCTGAGTCTCTTCTTTCAGATTATTTAGAGAAAGACTCTGACTGACTCTTTTAGAGTCAAGTATCTATTTCTGAGTCAATCAGAAATGGATACTTGGGGTGATGTCACATAGTGCACAGGGTTGCCTTGTGTCTTTTGAGGAAGTAAGTTCTCTAAGAGGAGGATATAGATAAGATTATGTAAATTGTCCTCCTATGAGCTATTAGGAAAAAATGCTGTGATAATGTGATTGGAAGCTGTTTTCAGAAACTCTTTCTAATTTCAACTCTAATTTGTGTGGTAAGACTCTAAGAAATAAGTTTTGTGAGGAACACAAAATCGTACAGCATTTTCACTTATCATAATCTCTTCCTGATTCACCTTTAATAACTGTGGTTACGGAGTGTTAATCAAATTTCAGGCCCTCAGGTGTGCTAGGGTATATGTTACTAAAGTGCTTCTAATTTTCTTTAGTTGTTTGTGTAATGTTCTAAAACTTGGCCGACACACAAATGGGACAGACAGCATTTGTAAAGAAATAACTAAATGTCATTGTTTTATGTACAGGCAGAAGGCTGTCCGGTATTATTCATAAATCTCTGGTTATATTTGGAACCTATTGGGTCATCAAAAATGTTACTTTCAAAAGATGCTGATTTAGCTTTTGGCTATTGATTTCCATCTTGAGTCATAATACATTCTTCCCCCACACTGTAACCATCATAACATTCCTGATTATGTATCATCTCCTTAGATGACAGGAATGAACATACAAGGAGAGAGAAGAGATTCTGACCACAGAAAAGGCAGAACATGGGGTTGCTGGTGCAGACCTGTTTGATGCATCACATCTTCTCTTTGCATAATTAAAGTCGTCACTGGCCATGCTGGCTAGGCTACCACACCAGGGTGCTAACCCATTCCTAACCAAGTCCTGCTTCAGGTCTTGTGCTCCGAGAATCACTGTGTTCTCATGCAGCGAAAGCCATGCTAACTTCCTAGAAGTTTCTGTAAGGCTGGGGTGTTTATATCGGGCAAGGTAGGAAGTAAAGTAGGAGTTTTCACAAGGTAGCCAAGGAGGGGAGACATGGCAGCTGAAGGTAATGCAGCGCTACCTTTAGATAGGAACACCTTCATTTCATTTATTGGAATAATGCCTTTTCTTACATCTTCTCCTTGCCCTAATCAGACAATGTGTACGTTGCTTCTCCTTGATAACTTAAATCAAGACAAAACAAAACAAAAACACAGCAACAAAACAGTGTAAAAATGGTTGGGAAAGGAGAAGGTAGCGTTGATCTTCACTAGTTCTGAAGCAGTTTGCCGGGATATTGTTCATGGCTCTCTTCATATTTACTGTGCCTTTTGGTGATCAGCTTTAACATTCATGCAAGAATTTGCAGACAAAAACTATGGGTGTTTTTTAAAGAAGGTGGGACATTAATTTTTGGAAAAAATCAGTTCAGAAGTTACCTGCCTTGATGATGGATAGAAATAGAGAATGTTAATGTTGTGAGGAATTTACTCCTAACTTCATATTCTACAGATACATTCCTAATGTCATGGTAAGGACAGAGAATTAGTTGAAGAATGACCTCCAGTGGCCTGGAATGGGATTATTATGAATTTCCACCTGTGGAAACCAGTTCTTTAGAATATGCAACTCCAGGAGAAAATTCCCTCTTGCTTCCGGCCAATCCTGTCAACTCACACTGGAGCTCTAATGCCATCTCTGATTGGTCAATGAGCAACCACACGGCCCCCGCCTCAGAAATAGTCCAGGACCCTGTGGCCAAGATAAAAGCCACGAAGGAAGAAAAAAATAAGAAAAACCAGAGAAGAAAGGCTAGGAAGAACCCTAGAAGATCAGAGAGAGAAAAAGAGGTCAGCAACTTGCTTTGCACACCTGCACCATTCTGGGCTTCCTGGCGACATGTCCATCTGTGCCACCTGGGGGGATCCATCCTGAAGAGGGACATGTTCCATCTTAGTGGGACTCAGGTTTCTTCCATGAGCTTAGCTTCGGCATCTGTGTGCATTGTGCCCGTTCTCTTACACCACGTAGGAGAGAGAACTAAAAGTATTTCACAACCAAGATGTAGACTTTCAGTTCCGTAAGTGAGCAGCACTGAAGTCAGAAACATTGAGGGCTGGCAGTTCACACACTTTGCAGACAGGTCAGCATGTTCCAGCCTGAAGTGCCAAACTGCGAGGTGGCCAGCTCTTGGCGTTTCCAGCTGCAGTGTTTTTCCTTCTGCTTCCTTGTAGTTAATCATTCCACAGATACTTCTTGGGCGCCTGGAGTGGCCGTGGCCTTGTGTAAGCACTCAGCCAGGGGATGCCATCAAGAGGCAGCTGATCTTTTTTAAGGCCTGCACTGAGGTTCATTGACTTCACGGGGCGGAAATAGCTTGGATTTGAGCGCAAAGAGCCTTGACAATTTGAATTCTGGACTAACCATGCTATCCCGAATTAGCTGGTTATCCTTGGGTAGGCACTGAACAGCACTGAGCCTTTGTTTTTTTGCTTTTTTAATTTTTTTATCAATAAAATGAGAATTAGATGCCACTTGGAGTGTAGTGGAAGGTCAATAAATATTTACTGAACAAATAACTGTTGAGTGCTATTAAGCGTGTCATACTTTTTCCAGCCTTTTTTTTTCTTCAAAGTTTCAGAATTTCATGGTGTATTTAGATAATATAGACATAAGGATTATGTCAGAGTTGCTGCCTGGGTCTGCTAATAAGTGTGTATTAAGGACACGCTTGGTGGTTTTCTGTTTCCTGTTTCAAAGAGGAAATACCTCCACAGTAAATTATATAGGAGGAAAACAGGAGGCCCTGTTGCAGTTGAGAGTCTCAGGCACTTGACTGGGTTGTGTGTTCTGGGGAAGAGTAGCTCTGAGATAGATAGCCCAGGGTGGCTCTTTGCTTATAGGTTTCCTGTCTCTCTGAGTGGCCTTTAGCTCTCATCCTCGTAACTTTGGAGTAGCTGGTGTTTATAAGCCAGAGAAAGTCCCTTCCTCAGTTCTCCAGAACCGTCCCATCCAGTGTTTGCAAAGCTAACGGCGTGGCTGAATGACAGCCACTTTCGGTGGGGAAAGGCTGACATTGGCCTTCTCCGCAGTCTCTATCCAACTGATGAGGCCAGGCCCCGGGCTCAGAGTGAGGTCTCTGAGGCAGTGAAGACGGAGGGGAAGCAGTGGTCTGGAGACAGGCAGTGCCCCTAAAGGGTCTCTGGGAGAGACAACTATGCCATGGCTTAGGACAGTTAGTGTCCTCACGGCAGCCTCACCCAAGTCCTTAGATTTCCTTGAGGCTTGATAATCCATCTGGAAATTTACTTTTGAAGGCTAAACCAAAAGTTAGATTTAGCTTCTTTCGTTGAGCTAGAGTTTCACAAAGGAAAGACCTCTCCAGTTAAGCAAAAATGGAAGATTCCTGCTGAGAGCAAGTAATAAATAATAGTGATATTCTGGCTCCAAAGCTGCTTAAACTCGTGATTGAGGGGCAGCTTGTGAAACAGGATAAAGCACTTGACCTGCAGCAAGGCTTAGGCTAGACGGTGCCCCAACCAGCCCCTCGTGCACTGGCTCGGACCGAAGAGTGGCCGACACGACCCATGAGTTCCGGGCTTTGTGCACAACACAGATCGAATGGTTAAGTTCTGTTCTATGACAAGGTTGTTCTCATCAGTGCAAAGAGTGCGGATTCGAGTGCCCGCAGTCTGAAGGAATTTTAAAAGGCCCCATCAGTGTTTGCCCCTAGAGGGTGGGCTGCAGTCTCCCCTTCTTACCGAGACCAGAGCACCATCTTTCTCCTCAGGTCATAAGTTGCACTGGAGGCCCATTTTGGGAAAACCTGTTACCATTCTGATGGGGGAAATGGCAGTCTTGGAAATTCTTCCAGAAATTTTTTAAAGTTAAGACTTGGGCAGTTTCTCAAAGGATGACTTGTTTGGACATAGTGCTTGGCCTTTGGAAACAGTTCCTAGAATGTTCGAAGTGAGTGTGTAATGGCTTGATGTGCCTCCTTCACCCACCCACCAGGGGCCACGTTCTTGTGACTGCAGGCGCACAGAAAGGGTTCTCTTTGAGTAAGGGGTCTCTGGGAAGGTGGACAAGAAGAAAACCCAGTCTAAACCTAATGTGTAATGGGAATAATGGTTTAGGATGCTGAGGGGGAGGGTTCATGATAGTCATGCTGTGGGCAGTGGACAAATCGTAATACTGGAGCTGGAAATCCCTTACATTCTACACATGAACAGTGAGAAAAGAGTCCGAGACACGGACAGTCCCATTATCGGTGTATTGTTACAACGTAGACTTTCAATAAATAGCAGTTTTTCCTGTGGCTAAAATTGTATTTGTTAAGTATAAAAAGTAGGAAACTATTTAAAACTATAAGGGTGAAAAATAAAAATCACTTCCCCTCATGGATTTTTAAAGGGAGATTTTTTTTAAATTTTAAGAAAGTAAACGTGAGTTTTAAATAGCATTAAGTGCTTTTTATTGTGATAAAACTCATGTAATATAAAATTTACCATTTTAACCATTTTTAACTGTACGGTTCAGTGGCGTTAAGCACGTTCGCACTGTTGTACAATCATTATGACCATCCACCTCCAGAATTTCTGTTTGGGTCAAGTGACTTTAATGCGCATTGCTGTTTGTTCTAGATCCCAAGGTGTTCAGTAAGCAGAATCAGTACTTCATTAAGGCAGTTCATAGGTATCAGTGCAACCCTCTTTAAAAAAGCTCTATATTATTTGTCTTATAATAATCTCTCTTTCCTCTCTTGGGCTGAAGATGAGGGATGCCCAGGGGCATGTCCTTTGCCCCTCTGGTACTCCACCAGAACGTTTGTGCAGAACTCTTACCAGCCAAATCCTAGAACCCAAGAAGGGAAGGGACAGACCTGGGGGAGCACCCACCCTCCTTTTACAGGTGCAGGTTAAGAACTGAGGCCCAGTGAAGTGCCAGGTATCTCCCAAGACTGTGCAAGATTCACATCTCCTGTCCCCCTTGCCTGCACCCCTTCCTCCCTACCAGAAGTTTTCCACACTGTTCACTTACCTCCCCGTTCCAGTTTGGACCCCAGGCCAGACTTAATTTGTCTCGACTTGATTTCCTGAGTATATGTCAGAGATGAGATGTGCTCTTACAGACTTCGGAACTCTCTCTTATCTGGGCCATCTTACTTTCTCTCAAATGCACTTAGGCGAAAGGGTCAGGTTCCCGTTGCCGCCCTGACGCAGAAAGAGAAGGTCAGCAATCCCTGGCATCTGATCCTAAAGAAAAGGCAGCATGAATCAGCAAGGATGCTGTCATGACATATCAGAAGAGGCCGCACAGACGTATGCAGTGATAGCTTATAGCCCCTGGAGTCCTCAGACGACGTGGTATAAACCACTGCATTGCCCTCAGCCCATATAAGTTGATCAACAAATAAGCGCCCTTCATCAAATCCTGAGTGTTGCTAGCTGACACAGCTGGGGAGTGATGCCTCTGAACGAGAGCAGGCAACTAGAGGACTCAGCAGGGAGTAAAGATTGCTGGCTTAATTGCACGGCACACGCAGTCTAGCTCTCAGACCCACTTTTCACAGTCATATCTCTGAACTCTGCCATTCCTTGGGGCGGCAGGTGAGTGCCTGACTCTCATTCTGAGGTCAGCTCTGAAGCTGTTCTGTGGTTGGTTTGAAGTTCCCCACTGAGTTTGCGAACAGAAGAGCTCTGCCTGGTGTGATGGCTGGTCTGCTCCAATGGAGGACAGGAGATGTCCTTGTGTCAGAGTAGTGCAGGGAGTGCTGCAGGGCGGGGCTGGGAGAGCTAACTGCTGTTCCTGCCTCCACGTCCCTCTGCAGGGGGATCAGACTGCCTTGCACCGGGCCACAGTGGTGGGGAATACGGATGTCATCGCGGCACTCATCCAGGAAGGCTGTGCTCTGGACCGCCAAGACAAGGTGATGGGGGACAGGGCCACCTGAGGACCCTGCTTTGGGAACTTGTGACTGTTCGAGATGTTATCCTTCCTAAGTCTTCTCACTCATGCTTTAACATGATAAATCAGCCCAACTTTCTTTTGAAAGAGTATCTCATATCCCAACAAATCGTATTTTTTTATTCCTCCCCCTGTTCTGTGGCAGCAATGGGCAACCACATATATAAATGGTAAAGAAAAAAAGTCTAGAAATAATGAGACCTGTGGAGGCCTGGCTGGGGGAAGGCATGTGCCCTGGACTCAAATTAACTTGCTCACCCTCCTTTAAAAATATATATTAGAATTAATTTGAAATATATTGGAAGGAAAAAAATGAACAAAATCAATTCTTTAAGAAATCCCAATGATATATTTTATACTAATCATTGCTTTTAAATCGTTAATCTTAAAACAGGGAACTTTGTCATTAAGTGCAGTTCAGCCCGTGTTTACTTTTTAGACAACTTTTTAACAAAGTGCCCTACATATACAAAAAATATGCAGATTATAAGTGTGCAGTTCAATGCGTTTTCACTAACTGAGCATCCGTTTGTGAGCGATCAGATAATTATCAGCACACCAGAAGCCCCCTTACCCGTGTCCCCATCCAGTCACTTTTCCTTCTGCTTCCTGCTGTGTTCAGTCAGTCCCCCGGGCCAGCCCACACATGGCCACTACCATCCCTAGCACCACCCTGCTCCCAGGCCTTTGAGACCCTACCTAGCCTTCTCCTTGAGGGTATCGGTGCCATTCAGCCAGTCTCGTGGTGTGGACGAAGAGAAGCCAAAGCCAGCGGCCAGATGTGACCGGACAGTGCACCTGCCTGCCCCCAGCCCAGCTCCACCCCTCCTCTGCATGCCTCTCCCTCCCTGTAACCCCAGCCCTCTCAGCCCTACCCCACTCACTTTACTGCACTTAATATTTCTGTTAGAGGAAGTTAAGCAAATAACAACTGTGTGTGTTAATTGGTCGACTTTTATTTAAGAAGCCACGTAAGGAGAACACTTGTTTATCTTCTTTACAAGTCACCGTTGTCTCAGGGTCTGCTTATTTGTTTCGGTCCCTGAGACTTTGGATTAAACTGGGTGAGATTAAATTTGGGGGAAGAAAAAGAGAAGAATCTGCCTATCCAGTTCCTGGGCCCAACAGCTTATGACCTGGACTCCTCACTTGCCTGATCTTTGCAGAGTCCTCTCTGGGGCCAGGAGCAAGGGGTAATGGAGGTGGGAAGGAATGAACATCATGTTCCTGCTAAATGTGTCCTATGGATGAGCCTTTCTCAACCGGGGTTCCCGGAGAGATTGAAGCCCTGTACATCATCCAAAATGGTACTTTCCGGGGCGCCTGGGCAGCTCAGCCATTTAAGCATCCGACATGATTTCAGCTCAGGTCATGATCTCAGGGTCATGGGATCGAGCCCCGAGTTGGGCTCCGTGCTGGGGGTGGAGCTTGCTTAAAATTCTCTCACCCCCTCTCCCGCTGCCCCTCCCCCCAATTTTTTTTTTTTTAATAAAAAAAAATAAAATGTTTCTTGTTATGTACCATTTCTGGGAGAGTGGAGAAACTAGCCAGTGAAAATCATTTTCCGGGCTCTGTGATTCCGATGAGAAGCCCCATTTGAGAAAGAAGCTGTGGTGTGCCCCAGAAATACACTATGATGTATCGATTCTAATGAGATGAATTAGGTCTCGGGTAATGTGCTTTCTGTCTCCTTCTGTGTTCCTCAGGACGGGAATACAGCCCTACACGAAGCATCCTGGCACGGTTTTAGCCAGTCAGCCAAACTGCTCGTTAAAGCAGGAGCCAACGTGCTTGCCAAGAACAAGGTGAGGCCCCGAAGGTGCTAGAAGGCTCCGTTCACAGGTGAGGACGGCGAGGGCTGTCGTCCCTGCATGAACCTCCTCGTAGCGAAGCAGGAGCTGGGGGGAGCAGGGGAAATGAAACCTAATCTCCATGGTGAGCAAGAGTCTTCCTCCGAATTCTCCAGGCTCTCCCTGCTTTCCTGTTGGTTTATCCGGGTTGGGCAAGCAGCCCCTCCTCCTGGAAACAGGGAGGGGCCAGCAGCACCTCTTCTCCTGCATTTTCCTGTCTCCCTCCAGTCGCTTATCATGTCTCATCCCCCTCCTTCTGTACTCATTAGTAATGAAGGCATCTCTGCAGAACCTCACAGCAGACTGGCCAGTTTGCCTAGTCCCTTCGTCATCCTGCTTCTCCTCCGCTCAGGAAACTTTCAGTAAAACTCCCCCGCCTGACGCTGTCTCGGGCCTCCCTGGAGGGGCCTCAGCCTGTCGGCAGCCTCTTCCCTGAGCCTTTCCCAGTATGTGCCTTGTGCGCTATCAGAGTGAGCTCACCGTGTCCCCGTCCCCACCCTGCTCCCTTGGGGAAAGCCTGCTCCTCATGGCTACCTATAAACCTGCAACCTGGGCTCCCAGGGCAGTGGCCTCTCCCTCCCTGAAGGCCCATCAGGCTATTTCCTGCAGAGTTCCCGTGGCACTCCACACAGCTTTGTGCTGTCGTCTACTGGTTTAATGTTTCTCATGGTTTCCTCATGGGACAAAGCATGAGTTAAAGAAGCAGTCCATGCATCGTAAGATCTCCGATCATGCCTGAGCCACTGCCTGGGAGACTGGTGGCTGCTTCATTTCTTCAAAGTGGTATATTGTCTGGAACAGGAGTTGTAGGCAGACCCATGTTGTATCGTAGATCCTGGAACTCTGAGAAGCCAGTGGTTCCCAGTTAATGGATAGGGAAGCCTGAGCTGGGAGCCAGTAGTGTCAACGAAGACACATGACTTGTTCATGACACAGTCAGGTCCATAAACTAGCCTGAGTCCCTCTGAGCCACCACACTGCCTCCTGTCCTGTATGGGGCCCCAAAGGTATTGCAGAAAACCACAAGATCTCTCTAGATAGAACAGCAGAGACTGTCACAAGCAAAGGTAGGTGCTGTCCCAGAACAGGACTTCCACGTTCTGCACCAGCCACGTCCTCCGGCAAAGCCTCTAAAAAGGCCCTTTCCTTTGCTTTACTGAGGTATAAATGACTGGCAAATAAAATTGTAAGGTATTGAAAACGTACAAAGTGATGACTTGAGATATGTGTATATTGTACAAGGATTACCCCCATCAGGTTAACGAACATGCTCATAATCTCATGTTTACAGTTCTAAAAAGTTTTTGATGTAAATGTTTCAGTTCTATTCTTCATATACAGTTTATCAACCACAGTCACCATGCTGTATGTTAGAGGATACCCGTCTTATAACTGAAACTTTATACCCTTCTCCTAGTGTTTCCCTGTTTTCCCCCACCCTCTACATGTAATACTTACCGTATTTGCTTCTCTATCTGGCTTATTTCATTTCGCATAATGTGCTCTGGGTTCATACATGTCCCAAATGATAGAATTTCTTTCTTTTTTTAAGGTTGAATGATCCTCTGTTGTGTAAGAACATTCTGTTGTGTAAGAACTTACTCAGGGAGTGTATCAGCCCCAGTCTGGGGAATATGTACTCATTACTTGGGACGGAAAAACGCCTGCTGCATATATATTCCCACTTAGGTCACATTTTCTAAATGTCAGCTCCCGAAGTACAATCCATACACAATAAAGTTCAGCCTCTTAGGTATATTGTATGAGTTTTGACGAATGTACACAGTTGTGTAACCACCTCCGCAATCAAGATGTAGAATGTTTCCATCGCCCCAAAGACTTCCTTTATGTCCCTGGGTGGCAGTCTCCCACCCACCCACCGCTCCCAGCTCCTGGCAACCGCCGACCTGCTTTGCCTTTGCCAGAACATCATGTAAAGCAATCATAGAGTATGTAGCACTTCATGCCTGACGTCTTCCCCTCACGTTTTTGAGTGTCCTCCATGTTACATGTGAGACTAGTTCATTCCATTTATCGCCCAGTAATAGTCCAGTGTCTGAATATACCATCATTTGTGTGTTCTATCCCCGCGGTTTTTAATTTTCTCAATCCAAATGTTTTTCAGCGTAATTGATATTTTCTCATTAGCAAAGCTTGGTGTATGGTTCTAGAACCATCAGATTCCTTTTATTTCAACACAATAAGTAACTGCCATGAAGCCAACACCTTTGAGACAACCTACTGCCAGTGCTGTAAGAATTACACCAAGCCAGGCGCCGAGCCCTTGCACCAGGAATGGAATGTTTAAAATGTGGGCCGATCCTTTGTTTTTGAGAGCGAAGCTAGCAGTGGCTCCCTACATGTCTGTGCTTTAAAATCTCCTGGAAAACTTTAAACAAAAACCATGGGGGGAGGGAGCAAACTCACCTGGTAACCGGGCCTAGAGTGACAGGCTGTCCCACTTTTCCCTGGGTCCAGGGGTTTTTAGAGTTGAGGACTTCCGGTGCTGACACCTGACCCGCCCAGACTCCACCCCAGGCCAAGTAAATCAGAATCCCTAGAATGGTCGCAGCTGAGCACCCTTAGTCTTAACAGCTCCCCCAGGTGACTCTGAAGCAGTAGAAGGTTGATAACGAGGGAGGTCACTAAGCCCTCAGGCTTGTAACCTTCCAGTTCCTTGGAGGGAGCAGTGAGCAAGAAAGATTCTACCTAGGCTACTTGGAGCAAGGGGTATGAGAGGGGAGGTAAGTGAACCAGCAACATACGGTTTTTCTCTGTGTGTTGTGTTTCGTTTTGCTTTTAAAAATAAAACTCATTATTTTCAAGAAGTTGAGGAATAGAACGTTGTCGGAGTCTGGGCAGACAGTGCAGTGGACGCAGCTCCAGGGCGAGGAAGGGCTGTAAGTAGGCAGTGAACAGCTCCGAGCCCACACAGTCGCAGTCCTGACCCCACTTTGTAGCTCAGCCCAGCAGTCACTGAGCTTGTAGACTCCACCCTCCGCATGCTCCCAGGCTCTCTCAGACGAACACCAAATCTCTTCTTACGCTGTCCGCATTTCTTGTCACTTTTATCAGCAGCCTTGCAGGCACTGTTTGCACGGTTTTAAAATTCTGTTTGTGTCATGAATTCCTTCTGAAAGATTGCTCTAGACATTATTCTGACGCTTGACGTCCCTGTGAAATGGCATATTGCTGGTGGAGCCCAAAAAGCACGAGGGTCTCCATCTGTATGATAAGCGGTGGACGTAATCGTGTTGCCTGCTGTGTGGGTACCTTGACCATAGTTCCAATTTTGATGTTTAAGGAAAATGCAAGAACGGACAGTTTGCAGAAGGCATACAAGTTAATCTCCATTTTAGCTGTCCCCACAGGACATGGCATCTGTTGCTTTTACTCCATTGGTGGAGTATGGTAGCCACAGCTGTTGTCCGTGTTGGGTGGGAAGGCTGTGGTCCTCTCCAAAATGAGTGCAATGCAGCATGTGGGCACAGCATTTTGCCATTAAGTAAACACTCTCCTGGGTACTCCCGATTAACCCTCACGGCCTCAGGATGTAGGGGTCACACTCCATTTTACAGGTAAGGAATTCAGGACAGCATATGAAGAGCCTTGACCAGTGACTTTCAACTAGTAAGTTGCAGAGCCAAGGTTTTATGACCGATGGGACTCTTGTGGCTTTCCGATTCCATATTAACTATTCTTGTGGCTGAAACCCCTCTGCCGGGGTCACCAGTCAGGAAGCAGAGAATGTGAGCGTTGACCCTTTTTTTTTTTCTTGCAAGTATCCGTCAACCTTCTGCGAAGCCTGCCCGGTGTAGGTCTGCCAAGAAGCGAGTCGCTAACGTGTCCTCCCTTCTCTTGCCTTCCTCCAAGGCGGGAAACACCGCTCTGCACCTGGCCTGCCAGAACAGCCACTCCCAGAGCACGCGCGTCCTCCTGCTGGGTGGCTCCCGTGCCGACCTCAAAAATAACGTGGGTGAACAAATCCGGCTTCTCTCGCGTTCTCTTGTGTCCCCTTGGAAAGCAACCCTAAAAGCATACTTCTGTATTAACACCTAGAAAATGAAAATGTGAAACGTGTTTGGGGACTGTCTAAAAAGTGTTCGTTTTTTTTTGGCTACGTCCTGAATGGTCGGCCAGGGGCAGGAGAAGAGGAATCAAGACTCAAACACTGCTTTTCTCCCATCCTTTTCCCCTCTGCTCCTCAGCCTGGGTTTGTTTCAATGTTTCTCCTAGCATGCGCTTGCAAATGAGTTCAGAAAATCTCTGCCCGCATAGTCACAAGTAGGCAGACAGGTAGGCAGAAAGAGAGAGAGAGGAGGAAGCAGGCTCCCCGCTGAGCAGAGACCCCCCCCCCCCCGATACGGGGCTCGATCCCAGGTCCTTGAGATCATGACCTGAGCTGAAGGCAGAGGCTTAACCCACTGAGCTACCCAGGCACCCCAGGTGAGGTATTTTGAGGGGCGTCTTCTTCCACCCTAGCCACCTATCCTAGTAATAGTAGTAGTAATAGTAATCCTACTCATCTGGGATCTGTGGGCCTACCCTCCCCTTTTTGTACAGTTAGCGAATGTCAGACGGTACCATCCAGGGAAGGTCTTCTGATGCTCCAGGGCCTGCGTCTACAAATCAGTTAGGGACGTGCCCTTGGGAAGAGCTGATGGGTCTAGTTCTTAGAGGATTCCTGACTGTTGAGGTCACGTGGGCATGCCCCCTCCCTCCACAAGCAGCCGTCTTTCCTTTACAAGTCCCCGGCCTCATTCCTGGACTAGAGACTCTGACCGGGGTTCCTCTCAAAAAATGGTCTTTGAAGGCAGACTCCTCTAGAGTGGGTCTTAGAATGCCCTGGACCTGGGCTCTGAGCTTGGCCGCTTCTTAATCCAGGGGAGAAGGTTATGCTGAGTGGCCGTTGTCTCTAGACAAAGTTTGAATGAAAATATCAAGAAAACACCGCAGAATGTCCTGACTTTGTCTCCAGTTTTCTCTGTGAGCGGTTTAGCCGGTGACCACTAAGGAAGATATTGATCGTGAGGTTTTTCTCTGAATGCCCTGTTTTATGCCAGTGATTTCCTCTTCCTCTGCTCCCCTAGATTGCTCTGCCCCATATGAGCTATCGGGGTCCTACTCAAATGAGATGCAGCTCGAACTTTTTTTTTAGAACACGCGTGATCTTAAAATCTTGAGTGCTCTCCCTGCCACGCTGTCCTTTGAGCCATGAGGAATCCGTGATGGAGGAGGGCTCCTTTCCAAAGCAGTGCTGTTGGTCTTAATTCCGTGTGCTCCAGAGCGTGGGGCTATAGGAGAGGCTGTGGTGAATGGGTTCCTGTCAAGCACTGGGTAAGCAGAGCCTGCCTTGGCTCTGGTGAAGGCCTCGTGGGGAGCGGGCATCCAGCATCTGAAACCTGAAAGCCCAGAGTCTGCACAGCAGAACGCCCGCGGGGCCGCAGACCACAGCCAAAGCTGTGGGTCTCGCGGTGGAGCGTCCACGGGAAAGTGAAGGCTTCCTGTTCAGGCTGATAACCTTGAACATATGCTAGTCTGCCAGTTTTTTAATCAATTTTTTCTTTTCTTTTCTTTTCTTTTTTCCTTCCCCCAGTAACTGCTCAGATTGTGCTCAGAGTTTGATTTCTGTCCGCAGGCAGGCGACACCTGTTTGCACGTTGCTGCACGCTATAATCACTTGTCCATCATTAAGCTCCTCCTCAGTGCTTTCTGTTCTGTCCATGAAAAGAACCAGGTCAGTGCATGTGTCCTCCCCACGGCTACCGGGCCCCCTTCCCACAAGGCTGGCAGGTGTGTTAGCACAAGCGGGGTCGAGGCTGCTGGGAGCCTCTAGTCTGGGATGAGGCTTGACTATTGCACGGAGTTCTGCATTGCACGGAGTTCTGCGCTCCTGGTTTATCTGGCTTCCTGGAGGGAGCCTGCTCTTCCCATTCCAGTGCATATCTCCATATTTGCATATCAAACGCTTTCTGAAGATGCTGGGGCAGGTTTTGCTTGCAATGCTTTTACAAAGGAAACCCACAAAGAGGAATGTGGCTTAATAAGCAAGGGAATTCGGTGTCTCCTGACTCCTTGAGTTCTGCTCCTTGCACTGCCACTTGGAGCTGATGGAGTCTCTGGTCTCTGAAAAATCGGGTATGTGATCAGCATCTGTGCCATATCCTGGGGGTTTGCCATAAAGCTGTGATTATTACAGTGTCCTATGGCAATGTGTGTGACTTACAGTAGCTTCAATTTGTTAAATGTCTTGATATTTACTGATACCTAAGTGATAACATTGTCTTTTCTGAGTATGGGTGCGTATATCTGAAATTTTAAAAACAGATCATTATTCAGATTAACTGTGTCCCATTAACAGTGGTTTTCGACTCCCACTGTATATTAAGAATCAACAGGGAAATTATAAATACCACTGCTGAATCTTACAGCAGTTTAAAAGACCAGAATCCAGGTAATGGGATTTTTCGAGAGCCCTTGACCTGAGTGTGCAGACAGGATTGAGAACCACTGGCCCAGCTATATACCTAATCCTGTCATTCTCCAGGCTTCCAGCGGCTTCTAGCTCATCAGACAGGTGACACTTAGCCAGCCCCCACGAACTCGTGTTTCTCAACCTTGGCAGGGTGTTTCAGTCCCCTGAGAGCTTTGAGAAATCCCCAGACCCAATGCACACTTCAAAACAATTCAGTCAGGGTCTGGGGGTGTGACCAGGGTGGCAATAGTTCTCAAAGCTCCCAGATGACTCCAGTTTGCAGCCAAGCTTGGAAACCCCTGCTGGAGAGCATCCCCCAGCACCCACAACTAAGTGACTCAGCAGTGAACCACAACTGCCCTGGCTACTCCTGGGGGCCGAGGGCCACAGGGCAGGTAGATTTCCATGCTGCCCAAGAAAACCCATCATCTGGAACGTGACCTGCTCGCCCAGTGGGAGAGAACAGATTACTTCACATCTGTATTTGCCTCATTTGCTTATATCCTTTGCTTGGGGACTGGCCCATGAAGCTGCCGTTGTCCATAGTTGACTGACCATCTTTTGTATGAAGAAAATATGAACTTTATTATAGGCTACTTGGTAAGAGGTTAAAAACTGCTGGTCTTAAGTGAACACTGATTTTTCTTCAGTGACTCCACCCAAATGAAGAACCTCCTGAGCCTGCGAAGGGATTCCCAGTGGGCTCTTTACATTCCCACAGGTGCTGCAGGGCTGGGGTTCCAGCCCCGCCCTCCCACCCAGCGCTTGTAGAAGTAGCCACTTTCTCCCAGCTTCTGCTCATTCTAGTACTCAGAAACTAAGGGGTCCTCTGCCTGGGCAGATGGACATGGTTCAGAGCCCTGTGATGGCTAGCCTGCTGGCCCCTGGCTGGGTGCCCGTTATCCTATCTTGGTGAAGGCTTCAGGTCTCGCCGTTCTCAACAACCCCAACCCAGCATTACTTTGCCCTCTGTACTCAATTCTGTGATTTCTGGTATCCTCCATCGGAGAGGAATGTGATCTTTGTATGTAGGTCATTTTAAAGAGACCTCTCGAAAGAGAACCACATAACCCTTGAACTAAGGGTCCCCTATCAAAGGCCAATCCTAATTTGAAAAGCTACCACCAGGCCATGGGATGAAAAACTGGAGGGCTGGAAACCATTTTCAGATGGAGTTTAGCAGCCTTTCTTATTAATTTCAGGCTGGAGACACAGCACTTCATGTTGCTGCTGCCCTAAATCACAAGAAGGTGGTTAAAATCTTACTGGAAGCTGGAGCAGATGGGACCATTGTTAATAATGTAAGTGAAGTCGCAACGATGTTTCTGAAAATCATTTCCACCCCTTTCCAGAATGGAGGGTGTTGTTACTACCTCACCTCCTGCAGGGCACCTAGCCTCACCCAGTCTTACTCTGCAAAAGGCACAAAGCTCCCCAGCCTTACTCTGTAAGAGCTGGGTTTCTGCTAAAGCTGAGGACCCCAGAGGTGGACTTGAGGGAAGCCTTGCTCATGAACTGTTGAGCCCTGAGCATTTATCTTTAGACTCCTAGCTCAAGTGAGCACATCCTGCCAGGAAAGGGAAGGTCATGGGTGTCAGAGTAAACTGACAAGTGGATGTTATGGAAAGGGAGTTCCTGCCCTGTACATGGATCGGTTTCTCAGAAAAGTGGCCACATGACTGTCAGATTAATCATCCTCAAAATTCTCTTCTCCAAAATCCCCTTCTCTCTCTCTCTCTCAGTATCCCACCTCCCCCCTTCCGTCTCTCTCCTGGGCCCTGTGGCAGGCGCTGGCTCAGGCACCCTTTCTTCCTTGAGACTGAGCTGGGGTCTCTACCCTCCTGAAGCAGCACAGACTCAGAGGGGCTGGGGGTCAGACAGTTGTGTGGAGAGTTGGGGAGTGTTGGAGCTGACAAAATTCTCCTGTAGCCAGTCCCCACTTTCCTCCTCCTCACAGCTCTCCCACCTGATCGGGTGGTGCGTCACCGTACCTGTACCCTGAGGTCTTTCCCTTCCTTTGAATCCCTCAGTTATCAACTCCTACCTTTTGGCTTGATCTCCCTAGAGCCTGCCATATGGCCATAGCTTCCTAATTGTTCTTTACAATCCAGATCCTGAGACTGGCTGGGGCCTCATCTGGGGCCCAGATGACATGGCTGGGAGGACATCCCAAGTGTCCTCCAGGGAAAACTCATTGCTCGGCTGCATGTGATGGTCCTTTGTGTTTCTTCAGCTGAAAGCTTCCACCGTGACCTTGTCTTTCACATTCCCTCCTCTCTTTTCTAGGAAGGATTCCTTGGTGGGCAGGCATTCCAGAGCTTTGCTTCCTCAAGGGTCCGCACTGACCCTCTGCTGCTGTGTGCTGCTAGTCACTGTGCCCTTGGGTGTGACGTGGCTCCCCCGCTGACCGCGGTGGGCCTCAAGAGCAGGGCCAGGTCTTACGTGTGATTGTATCTTGTTGAGCTTGCGGTGTGGCTGAGTGTCCCCGCTGGGCTAGGTGTGGGCAGGACTGGTGTCTTTTACTCACTTGTCCTCCGCTGTGCCTTTCCTTAGGCAGGCCAGACTCCACTGGAGACTGCTCGCTACCACAATAATCCGGAAGTTGCTCTTCTCCTCACTAAAGCTCCCCAGGTAGGATTTATTGGATTTTCCATTATATGGCTGATGTGGGGCTGCAAAGTTGTTGGGATTCTCTGGTGACCATCTATTAGAGCCAATTCAAACTACCTTAAGTAGGAAATTGATGGGTTCACAATCAGGCAGTGGAAAATGTAGGAATCCGCCTGGGCCCCCAGGATAACTAGAACCAGAGACATAAGTTTCAGCGGCTCGTCTTCATACATGGGCATCTTTTCTTCTCCGTGGCTGGATCATGGTCCTTACTGGCTTTGTGGACTGTAACTCCCCAAGTGCTTGGGGAAAAGGTTCTGGTTTAAATGATGCAGAAGAGGATCGTGATTGACGAGTTTGGGGCAAACGCCCTGAACAAGTAGGACAGGCACATTAGGAAGACAGCTGTATCCATTTGACTGTGTGGTTGGAAGGGGCCTTTCCCAGAGAAAGGTGGGAGAAAGGGATCCATTGTAGGCAAACAAAGCAGTTAATGTCCACTAGAGGCAGTCAAATATAATGGTGTTCTTTCCTTTTATTGAATATAATGGTATTTGGGGCATCATTTAACTTAAAATTAATATCATTTAAGTTGAGATTGAAACTATCTAACACTTAATAATGTATAAGCTGTTCCTCATTTTAGCATCCTGAAATAACGGTTTTTTGTTTCTTCATATTACCTTTCAGACACCTAATTTTCATAATTGTGCCTACAATATACATACCCTTTTGTATCCTGCCCTTTATCTTAATTATAATAGGAAAATGTTCTGCAGTTCACATAATTACTCATCACGATGGAAGCCAGTTTGCTTTTTTGTTGCTGTCCAATATTTTGTTATAATAATTTGGATCTAAATGTCCAATATTAAGGAAATGGTTTACTTCCTGATTAGAGGTACTCTGTTACATTACAGCAAAAATAGATTCGTTTTCAATCGTAATATGCCTGATGCTGTAAGCAGGTAAAGTCTGAGAGAGCCAGAGGAAAATTCTAGATAGGGCCCTGCTGTACCCGACTCCCATCAGCCCAGAGGTCTGTGTGGCCTTTATTTCATTTTTTTGTTTTAATTTTAAGATTTTTATTTATTTATTTGACAGAGAGACAGCAAGAGAGGGAACAAGCAGGGGAAGTGGGGAAGGGATAAGCTGGCTTCCCACCGGGCAGGGAGCCTGATTCCGGTCATGATCCCAGGACCATGGGATCATGACCCGAGCCCAAGGCAGATGTTTAACGACTGAGCCACCCAGGCACCCCTCATTTACGTTTTTAAAACCTACCTGATATAATTAGCAGTATCTGGAAGAGGTGAAGATTTTTGCCTTTTGAAAACTGGTCAGCCTGTTGCCCATGGAGTGGGTCCTCAGTGGTGTCTGGAAGTCTCTGGAGCCCCTGACAGGAACAAGTCAAGTGGTGCTTTGGAAAAAGTTTGCACCTTTTTCCAACTATTGCAAATGAATCATCAATGGAATCACATCCATGAATCCTGATAGAAAAATATTGGTCTCTTACAAATCAGAAAGTAAGGGATGCTATCATAAAGGTCAGAATCCATCTCTGTTACATGGCATTTCAGTATTTGACAGTTCGGACAGCCACCTCTGTTCTTAGCTGTATGATGATCATCAAACTTTGTGGCGTGGAGTATCCCCAAGGCACACAGACTTACAGGCCTCTAACTCTACCTGCCTTTTGTCTTCCAGATCTCAGGGATCTGAGTTCACAGAGAAAAAACTTTACTGTGGACCTTTTTCCTATGTAATTCTCCTTTAGTGTTTCCATTAAAAGCAAACAAAAAAATCCTCAGTTTTTCCACACCCACTTGAATAGCAAACAGGATGACATTTTATGGAAGTTTTTTACGTGATTATATATGCTAAGCTCTATTCTCAACACGAAGAAGGAACTTTCGAATATGCATAAAATTATACACAGGCTGTTCTTCTGTTCTGAGGTGATAGAACTAGCCTTCCTCTGTGTGAAACAGGAAATTCCTTGCCTTGGCACCTTAGTTGACCATGGATTTCAATGGCTGTCCTTCGAGGTTACTTTGTAAAGATCCATATACCCTGATTTCTGTGAACTGGAAAAGATTGATGACATTCCATTTGGTAGACGATATGGCTCGCTGAGAAAGGCTGTAAGCCATGCAAAGTTATTTTCACTGGCTAATAACACGGTCTATGGAGGGAATTATTCTGGTGATTTGGGTGACCTGTGAGTATCCCTTCTCAGTTTAGATTGATACTGTTCACAAATGCTTCTGAAAATGAGTTTTGGGTGGATGCTGGGCTGTTCCGGCACACCATAAGCTGAATGAGCGATGGGCGCTAGTGGCTTCGCATCAGACTAGACTTCCTAGTAAGTCTGAATTTAGCTGAAGAAAGGGCTTAGGACAGTGGCTCTCAGACCTTTTGGTCTAGGGACACATAATGTTCTAGAGGCCCATAAAGAGCTGTGCTTATGTCTGTTAATAGTTACCGTAATTGAAATTCAACTTGCGAAGTGTTTTTAAATAATAAACATTTTTAACTCTGTTACCACAAAATGAAGTTGATTTTCTGAAAAATAACTTTATCAAAACAAGTTGTGTGAGAAGAGTAAGTAGCAGTATAGCAGTATTTTTCATTTCTGCAAATCTCCATACTGTTTTCCTAAAAAGATGGGAGGGCCCTCCTTTACTTGCGCATGTGATCCATTGGCGTATCGTGTGCAGCTTCTGGTAAACACTGCTGTACACTCAGTGTGAGAGAGAAGGCGGCCGACATTGTGGTAATATCATGAAGGTAATTTTAACCTTGTGGACCCAGGGTTCCAGGTCACTTTCAGAGCTGTTGGCTTCGGGGATGAAAATACAATTTAAAAATCTGGTTCAGCCACAGGCAGATATTGTCCAGAATTCTCCATTTAGGTGTCTCCTGCTGCCCGTAGAGGTTCTTTTTGTCCCATAATAGTGTCACTTGAATTTAATGAACACGAAGTTGAACATTGAGCTGAAAACTATGCTGAACTATTTACATATGAAGACCAACTGTTTCTTTGCAGAAAAATTTTGAGACCTTGAAAAAGTGTTTGTACTTCCTAGACCCCTTAGTCAAAGTGGGTTGGGTGCCTCTTGAACTGGGAGCAAGAGGCTGGGGGAAGGGTATGGAGCTGAGCCAGAGACTGAGGTTTCTGCCAGCTCAAAGATCTGTACCCTTGTTAAACTTCCTCTGTCAATCAAGGTACTCTAGGGACTGGGGCAGGAAGAAGAAACCTAACAGTGACTGACGGTCCAGTGTGTGCTAGCCGGCTGCTTGTCTTGGTTAATTCTACTAACTCCCCATATTTATACTGGGGAATGCAGAGAGGGCAAAGAACTTGCCCAAAGATTTTACAGCCAGCTGCTGCTGGGTTCCAAAATCAGGCTATCAGACCGCATGTCTACCTGCCTGTGTCCATTCCACCTTCCCGCACTCGAAGGGGCAGACCAAATGCTTCCTTCTGAGGAGGAGATTCCTATCCCATGGTTGGTACCGTGGTTCACAGATGCACCTCAGTGTTTGACTCAAACTCCCAATGCCTTGAAAACAGTTAGATCGAGAGAAAATCTGATGGGCTAGTTCAGGTCCTGTGTACCAAGAGAGTGAGCCTGTGCCTGGCCCGGGGCTGCCATGTTCTACCACTCTGGGGGATGCCATGCCTGTCCTAGTCTCTCTGAGCGGTGGTCCCTGGAGTTCAGCGTGCACAGCCTGCATACGCCTATATGGTGGCCGTTGTTCTTGTCCTAGACCTGAAGCTCCTGGAAATCAGGGATAAAGGGCTCCTCCTCTCTGGGTCTTTAGAGAGCCTGGCACGGGACCTTGGGAGCCTAGCAGACAGTCTGGAAGTGCTTGTGGACATGAACGCCGGGTCTCCCACCAGGCTGGAAGCTGCATTAGATCAGAGCACCGGGTCCAAGGACGAGTCCATCATACTGACGCTGTGCACCGGGGGTTTGTAACGATGCCTCTTGCCTCCTTCAGGTCTTGCGCTTCAGTCGTGGGCGAAGCCTGAGGAAAAAGAGAGAGAGGCTCAAGGAAGAGAGGAGAGCTCAGTCTGTGCCAAGAGATGAGGTGGCACAAAGCAAGGTGGGGGGTAGCCCTCCTGCACCTCCCCAACTTCACCCCCTCCCAGAGGGTGGGAGACTCACGTGGCTTCTGGGCTTGTGGGGCAGTGGCCACGCCCTCTGTCTCTCCTTTCCACTGCTTCTTCAAACTGCTGTCGGTGCTTTCTCTTCGGCTCCCTGTCCTCCACTCCTCCAAGGGTTCAGATCGTGTGTCGCCTGCCGGTCTTTTCCAGCCCCCTGTATCTGTGGCCCTGTCACCACCATGTGGACAGCTCCGCCTTGGACACTGTGCCCTTAATCGTATAGGGCAGTGGCTGGCAAAGCGTGGTGTCCACTGTATCATCTGGGACCTTGTTAAAAGTGCAGAAGCCCTGGATCAGATGCTCTGGGAGGGGCCCGGCAAGCTGGGTTGGAACAAGCCCTGCGGGTGACTCTGATGCAGACTCAAGTTTGATACCCGCTGGCCTAGGTTGCTTCCTTCCTTTCTGCTTAGGGAGTGGACTGAGGCTATGGTCGCCCATGTGATTCCTCTGTGAGACTTGAGAAGAAGACACCCCCTGGGCGCCCCAGCCCCGCTCGGGGCACATACGGTAAAGAGTGCCCGAGCTGGATTTCAGGTCCCTCTGCCAGGTGCCCTCATACAGGGACAGCCGGCACGACTAGGCACCATAGCTGTGGAATGTACCGTGCCTTGCCGATCTCCCAGAACAAGAAAGGCTAGGATATAAAGACAACTTTTGGCCCATAAAATTTTATACTAAGTCCTCATTATTCTATTTTAAAATCTTATCCATTTCCAGGTTTAAGGCGGTGTAACTCTGATTAAGTTCCTGTAGGTATATTGTATATATTAATTGGTAAGAGTTCTATAAGGAGTGGAAATGTGATTTTTTTGTTGTTGTTGTTTTAGAGGTTTCTCATACTCCGTTATGAATTGTGAGGTCCAAGTTCAGAGAATGAATGGTATTTTTGTTGTTGCTGTGGTTGTTGAAATGCAAAAATAAAAAATAAAAAATCTCTAATGCTGAGGTGTTTGTGGTAGGTTCCTGAAGCTCTAGAATATAGAATTAGACCCAAGACTGTTTGGTTTGGCCCCTAATAAAGGCAAAGTCAAATACTCGAGTGACTGGGAAAATGGAACACGGTCAGTGTCGGCTAGCAGGCAGTGTTCCCTATTTGTCATCGGCTCAGAGTCCCCTGGGTCCCTTAGTGAATGCCGTCTTGCAACCAGAATTTTACACCATTACAGAAAAAGGCAGAGGGGGGCAATTAGAACTGGTTTCTGGGCTTTTTTTCTTTCCTCTGTAGGGTAGTGTCTCAGCAGGAGACACCCCCAGCAGCGAACATGCTGTACCCAGAAAAGAAGAGGCCAGAGAAGATTTCCTGTCTGCCTCCCCAGAGCCCAGAGCAAAGGACAATCGGCAGAGAAAGTCAAGGCCCAAGGTCAGGAGGCCCATGAAAACAGCCAGGGGATGGCTGGGAGATGGGTTGGCGGAGGGCCCCAGGGTAGCGTCATGCCCAGTAGCTAAAAACGCCGCTGTGCTTGGCTTGCTGGTTGGGAGCCAGAGCACAAAAATGAAATCTGGCCAACTTCAAACACAAGGTTAGTGGGCTGGTCGATTTCTTTTGACATGGGGTGCTTAGAGAGGAATGCCATGAGACAAAGCAAGCCAGGTTCTTTGGTCAGAGGTGGGTGAGGTGGGCGTGGTGCACTGGGCATCAGTCCTGCAGATGTCCCAGTGCTCAGGGGTACTGTCTCGTCCTCTCCCACAGGTGTCTGCGTTTTCTGACCCCACCCCACCAGCAGACCAGCAGCCTGGACACCAGAAGAGTGCGCATGCCCATAATCATCCTAGAAAGAGGCCCCGGCACCGATGCTCCCCCCCACCCCCTCCCCATGAGTTCAGAGCCTACCAGCTCTACACGCTGTACCGGGGCAAGGACGGGAAAGTGATGCAGGTACACAATGAGCCCCGTCCAGACCTGGGATCCTCGGCCTTAAGCAAGGCTGTGCGTTTATTACTATTCCTGGGGACTAATACCCATTTTCAGTGTTGACTTAAGGCATGAGCTCTGAAGATAAACCAGGTGGCCCTCCTGACCCAAACTGCAGGTGCGCCCCCTCGCTGAGGCCCAGGCACAGAGGGGCAGTCACACGGCTTTCTGTACCATCCTTAGGGGACTGGATCATTTTGAGGCCCCAGAGTAGATAAAAACAGCAAGGATTGGTACTCTCTGAAACTTCCTAATTGCCTGTTGGTCTCAAGGCTTGGCCCACTGGACATCCCAGAGTTATGCCAGGAATCCGTCGGCCCCCTCCATCATCCGTATCCCCCTGGCATACTGACTGACGCTGGATGGGGACTCAAAACCAATTTGTGGAAGGAATGAATGAGCGGATTGATTTCTTTGCTGTTCCCCTGTCAGGCACCGATCAATGGTTGTCGATGTGAACCCCTAATCAACAAGCTGGAGAACCAGCTGGAGGCAGCTGTGGAGGAGATCAGAGCAGAGCTGGGGTCCGTGCAGGATAAAATGAACACAAAGCTGGGACACATGGAGGGCAAGACCCAGCACCAGGTCAGTGAGTTGCCAGAACTCTTCATGTCCCGCTGCCCGGACAGGAAATGGAAATCAGAAAGAGTCCTCCAGCATCCTTCTGTTCCGCAGCCTCTGCCCTGAGCATTTCAGCTGGGCTGTCAGGAAGAGTTCTGGTTTCTTTCAAGCCCATTTATTCAGATTTTTAAAAATCTTTTTTAAAAATTTAAGTTCAGTTAATTAACATATATTGTTGGTTTCAGAGGTATTGGTCTGTGATTCATCAGTCTTATATGATACCCAGTGCTCATTACTTCACGTGCCCTCCTTAATGTCCATCAGCCAGTTACCCCAGCCCCCACCCCATTCCCCTCCAGCCACACAGTTTGTTTCCTGTGATTGAGTCTCTTATGGTTTGTCTCCTTCTCTGGTTTCATCTTCTTTTATTCTTCTCTCTTGTCCCCCACAGTCCTCTATTTCGTCCCTTAAATTCCACATATGAGTGAGATCGTATGATAACTGTCTTTCTCTGATTGACTAATTTAACTCAGCATAATACCCTCTAGTTCATCGATGTCACTGCAATGATGTCACTTGATGATTCTGGCTAAAGTTTATTAATTTTCTTTTCAAAGAAGCAGCTCTTGGTTTCACTGATCTTTTCTGTTGTTTTTATTTAGTTTCTGATTCATTTATTTCTCTCTGACATTTATTCTTTTTTTTCCTACTCGGGCTTTTTCATCTTATAGTTCCTTTAGGTGTAAGATTAGTTTTTTTTGTTTGAGATTTTGTTTGTTTCTTGAGGTAGGGCCGTATTACCTAAATTTCCCTCTGAGAACTCCTTTTGCTGTGTCCCAAAGATTTTTAACTATTGTTTTTATTTTCATTTGTCTCCATATATTTTTTTTAAGTTTTTTTTTGTTTTTGTTTTTGTTTTTAGTTTTTTTAGTTTGATTTCTTTGTTGACCCATTGGTTGTTTAATAGCATGTTGTTTAAACCATGTGTTTTTGGTTTTTCCATATTTTTCTTGCAGTTGATTTCTAGTTTCATACTTTATGGTCAGAAAAGGTGCTTCATATGATTTTAGTCATTTTACATTTATTGAGATTTGTTTTAACACATGATCTATCCTGAAGAATGTTCCATGTGCACTTGAATGTGTATTTTGTTGTTTTTGGATAAAATGTTCTATAAATATCTGTTAAGTCCAAATGGTCTAATGTGTGGTTCAAAGACAATTTCCTGGGCACCTGGGTGGCTCAGTTTGTTGAGTCTCTGCCTTCAGCTGAGGTCATGATCCCAGGATCCTGGGATCAAGTCCCGCATCAGGCTCTCTGCTCAGGTGGGAGCCTGCTGCTCTCTCTGCCTGCCACTCCCCCTGCGTGTGTGCATGTGTGTGCTCTCTCTTGCACACTCTCTATCAAATAAATAGAATCTTTAAAAAAAAAATAGCTTCTTTATTTTCTGAATGACTTATCCACTGATGTAAGTGGGAAGTTAAAGTCTCCTGGTATTATTGTATTACTATCAATTTCTCCCTTTATGTCTCCTAATATTTGCTTTATGTATTTAGGTGTTTAGGTGTGTATGTATTTATAATCATTAGAATTCTCTTGTTGGATTGATCTCTTTAACATTATGTAAAGCCCTTCTTTTTCTTTTGTTCAATCTTTTTTTGTTTTTTGTTTTAAGATTTTATGTATTTATTTGAGAGAGAGACAGTGAGAGAGAGCATGAGAGGGGAGAAGGTCAGAGGGAGAAGCAGACTCCCCGTGGAGCTTGGAGTCTGATGTGGGACCTGATCCTGGGACTCCAGGATCATGACCTGAGCCGAAGGCAGTTGTTTAACCAATGGAGCCACCCAGGTGCCCCAGTCTTTGTTTTAAAGTCAGTTTCTTATGATATAAGCATTGCTACCCTGGCTACCTTCTCCCCACTCCCCATCTGTTTGCATGGACTATCTTCTATCCCTTCACTCTTAGTCTGTGTGTGCCTTTAAGTCTGAAGTAAGTATCTTTTGGCAGCAAATAGATGGGTCTTATTTTTTTAATCCATTCAGTCACCCCTTATCTTTTGACTGGATCATTTAATATTTTACATTTAATTAATAATTAAATTTTATAATTAATAATATAATTAACAATTATATATAATTGATAATTATAATTAATAATTTACATTTAATTATTGATAGGTATGTACCTATTGCCATTTTACTGTTTTCTTGTTGTTTCATAGTTCTCTGTTCCTCTCTTGCTCTGTTTCCTTGATTGGTGAATTTCTTTAATGTTCTGCTTCACTTTCTTGTGTGTGTGTGTGTGTGTGTGTGTGTGTGTGTGTATCCTAGGTTTGGGGTTTGTGTTTACCATGAGATTCCTATATAATATCCTAGGTACATAGAAGTCTATGTTAAATTGATGGTCACTTTGGGAGCCTGGGTGGCTCAGTCGGTTAAGTGACCAACTCTCTTGATTTTTGGCTTGGGTCGTGATCTCAGAGTCATGAGATCAAGTCCCACATTGGGCTCTGCACCAGGCACGGAGCATAGTTGAGCTTCTCTCTCTCCCTCTCCTTCTGCCCCACCTCTCCCCACTGCCACCCTCTGCTCATGTACACATGCCTGCTCTCTTTCAAAAAAAAAAAAAAGGTCACTTAAGTTTGAATACATTCAAAAAGAACTTCATTTTTACTGACCACCCCCCATGGTTTTTATATGTTATTTTGTTTCTTTTTCTTTTGAGTTTCCCTAACTAACTTTAAAGATACACTTTCACTTCTTTTGTCCCTTAACCTTCATATTAGTTTTATAAGTGATTGCTTTACTACTTTACTGTATGTTGCCTTTACTCATCAATTTTTTGTCATAATTTTCTAATTATTGCTTTTTTACTGCTTAAAAAAAAAAATCTTTTAAAAGGTCTTGTAAGGGGCACCTGGGTGACTCAGTGGGCTAAAGCCTCTGCCTTCGGCTCAGGTCATGGTCCCAGGGTCCTGGGATCGAGCCCCGCATCAGGCTCTCTCTTTGGCGGGGAGCCTGCTTCCCCCTCTCTCTCTACCTGCCTCTCTGCCTACTTGTGATATCTGTCTGTCAAATAAATAAATAAATCTTTTAAAAAAAAAAAAAGGTCTTGTAAGATTGGGGCACCTGGGTTAAGCGTCTGTCTTCAACTCCGGTCATGATCCCGGAGTCCTGGGATCGAGCCCCATGTCAGGCTCCCTGCTCAGTGGGGAGTCTGCTTCTCCCTCTCCCTCCACCCTTCCCTTGGCTCCTGTTCGCATGTGCTTTTTTGCTCACTCACTCTCTCAAACAAATGAAATCTTTAATACATTTTCTTGGAAGGTTGTTTTAATGGTGACAAAGTCTTTTAACTTCTGTTTGGGAAAGTCTTTATCTCTCTTTGGATTCTGAAGAATAAATATTCTTCTGGGCTGAATATTGTCAGTTGTAGGTTTTTTTGTTTCAGGACTTTGAATATATCCTGTCACTTCCTCTGGCCTTAGAGTTTCTGAAAAATCCGCTGATAGCCTTATGGGCATTTCCTTATATGTTATTACTTTCTTTTGCTGCTTTTGAAATTCTCTTTATTTTTATTTTTTGACATTTTAATTATGTGTCATGGTGTGTATCTCCTTTGGGTTCCTTTTGTTTAGAACTCTCTGTGCTTCCTGAACCTGGGGTTTCCCTTCCCCAGCTCAGGGAAGTTTCTAGCTATCTCGAAATTCGTTTTTCTTCTTGTTCAGTCTGGGTGCTTTCCGTTGCCTCAGCGCCCAGATTCCAGATCCATTCTTCTTCATCCCCTGGTCTGTTGGTTCCTTCTATTATATTTTTCCTTCTAGTTACTATATTCTTCATCTCTGATTGCTTCTTTTTATGTTTTCTGTTTCTTTATTGAAGTTTTGAGTTCATCCCCTTCTGTGCAACTTGTGAGCATCTTTAAGACCATTATGTTGAACCTTATCACTAGGATTGGTTACCTCTGTTTTGCTTAGTTCTTTTTCTTGCTTTTTTGCCTTGTTCTTTTGTTTGAAGCCTATTCCTCTGTCTCCTCATTTGCTTGACTTTCTGCTTTTTTTCTATGAATGAGGCAGAACAGCTGCTTCTCCTAAACTTGAAGGAACGCTCTTATGTGTGGTCATTCCCTATGTAGAGGGTGTGTGCTTGGGGACTTCGGCTGGCTGGCACAACTGTGGCTGGTGTGGGCGGGGGTGGGGCGGTTCCCCAGGATCTTTGCATTGGGGCTGTCTTAGTGGAATGTCCTGAACTAAAGTGAGTGCAGATTGGGGCAATCCCGGGGCCCTCTGCGCCAGAGACCCCACGCAGGTGAGCGGAAGCCAAAGCGAGTACGAGGTAATGTGTTCCAGGGTGCCCTTCACGGGATGCACCCTACCACATCATCTGTGTGTGCCTTTAAGCATCTGGAGCCAAGGGGGACTCAGGCCAGGATGACTCAGGACGCTGTGTTTAGTGTGCCCTGGCAAGTCATTTGGAGTTGGAGCGATGTGGACCTGGAGTGTTCAAGGTACTTTGAGCCTGTGTCACCTTGGCCAAACGGCTGGAACTGTCGTGAGCACTACACCATGCTGGGGCTGCCTTGGTGGGACAGATCGGGCTGCTGAGGGTTAGGGCAGGGCTCATTGAGGTGGCAGGATGGCGGGGGTTCCCAGGCCCTGCTCCCTTCTGCGATATCAAGGTGGAGGAGGAACACAGACTCTGGTGCTTGCCAGCCCTTCTGACCCAGAGAGTGTTCCAGTGGCTGCCCTGACGTTTGGCAGGTTCTGGTTCCTTTGTGTTCTCGTTGCCCTTTTAAATCCTGGCTTTTTTTCTGTGCACGAGGGCAGACAAATCTTCCCACCTTCCCTCAGTACTGTCTCCACTACAGTTCAGTGTTGGGGCGGGGGGTTCCCTCTGTTACCATGTCTCTGTCTCCCTTGCTGTTCTCTGTATGGTCTGTCTTCTGTGGTGCAGAAACTGCTCCGTCATCCCCCAGGTCATCGGGAGGAATTGCTCTATAAATAGGTGTAGATTTGGTGTGTCTGTGGAGGAGACGACGGGGTTTTACTGCCTCACCATCTTGGACCATCTTTAAGCTTATGTTTAAATTTGGTAATGTCCTAGTCGTCTTGGGTTTTGGTGTGCTAATTAATGGCAATGTACTCTTCCGTGTATGGAGTGGAACATGTAATTCAGTTTTGTCTATTACATGTTTGTAATAGTCCAGTATAGTTAACAGTGCTCTGTTTCAGGTGTGCAGTGTGGTGATTCAGCAATTCTACACATCACCCAGGGCTCGTCCCATGAAGTTCATTCCTTAATCCCCATCACCACTTTCACCCAAACACCCACACACCTCCCTAAGTTACACCTTAGGTTACCTTAGTACTAGGTCTGCATTGGCTCAAGTTGTGGACTTACTGTGGGTTCAGTCTCCTCAACCCCTTAGGACTTTAACAAATGAGAAAAAGAAGCCTTGACTACACAGAAATGGGCTCAGGGATGGTGAAAACCTAGAGTCTGATGAAGACTAGATGAAACCTTAAGTTAGGTCACCTTAAGTTATATATTTTTGCTACCAGCTTTTTTCACCTGATTTGATATCCTGAGCACTTTCCCATGTCCTTTGCTTCATAATATTCCAACATATTTTTTATTAGATTTTGAAGTTGCTTATAGTTTTTCACTCTTATAAATAATGCTCTGATGAACATTTATGTGGGTAAATGTTTGCTTTTCAAGTTGTTTGCTCAGATTTAGGATAATTGGGTCCAGAGTTAAGAATATGTTTGGGGCGCCTGGGTAGCTCAGTCGTTAAGTGTCTGCCTTTGGCTCCGGTCATGATCCTGGGGTCCTAGGATCGAGCCCAACATCAGGCTCCTTGCTCGGTGGGAAGCCTGCTTCTCCCTCTCCCACTCCCCTGCTTGTGTTCCCTCTCTCGCTGTGTCTCTGTCTGTCAAATAAATAAATAAAATCTTTAAAAAAAAAAAGAATATGTTTAAGGCTCTTGACAAATATTAGTAATCTACTTAACAGAAAAGTTGTGTGAATTTATATCCAACAGGCCGGGTAAGGATATAAATTGAGTCTCCGTCTTGAACTTTTGCAGTCATTAATACTACCATCTTTGAAGCTTTTGCTGAACTGATTAAGAATATTGTTTAATTCTGGTTTCCTTGTTTGTTGGTGAGGTAGAGCATTTTAGGTTCATCTGCTATTTGTACTTCATGGAAAGCCCCTTCAAGAAGTCTTCTCCTAGTGCCATAATACCTTAGTTAAGACTGTCTTATAAATAAAACCCCCTTCAGCCAGCCTAAGCCCAGAGAGGAGTGTATTCGATAAATGCTGGATCTTCTCAAACACCTCACTTCATTTCAAGGAGCGTGACAGACGGGGGTGTAGACTCTTCATCCTAATTCCTGATCACAGGTAAAGGACTCTGGGGTGGACTGAGTCCTTCACAGGCATCAGTCAGCCGTGCCCTGGGGCTAAGTTAGAGCAACTCAGCGACTGGGATAAGGAGGGAGGGGAGTCGGCCAATCTGAGGAGACCGGAGAGCGGCTCACAGGAAGACAGGAGGGCTGAAGGAACCAAACAGAAGGTGCTCACCACATCTCCAGACCTGCTGCTCCTTTTAGTTTTTTGAGCTTCCTGTGTGTCCCTGACTGGAGACGAGCCCAGCAGCGAGCCCCTGTGGGCTGGCCCCTGCCAACAAGTTTCCTCTCCCTTGTTCGGGCCTTGTCTGAGCAGCGGAAGTTTGGCTCTCCTGGGTGTTAGGGCCCTGCAGGGAACATCTCCCCCTGATGTTGGGGAGAGCCAGGAGGGTGCGACTGAAAGGGGACAGTCATTTGTTCTCTGATGCAAGCCCTTTAAGCTCCTTCCCCATCCTTCTTCACGCTTGCTTTGGTTCCTCTCAGGGAAGCCCCAGGGTATTTGTTCATTGGACACTGGGTAAAAGCGCTGAGCGTTCTTTCGCCACCTCACAGGCAGCCGCTGACGCTTCGGGTGGGGTGTTAAGAACTAATTGGAAGGGTACAGCTGCAGTCTTTTATTTTATTTTATTTTATTTTATTTTAAGATTTTGTTTATTTATTTGACAGAGATCACAAGTAGGCAGAGAGGCAGGCAGAGAGAGAGGAGGAAGCAGGCTCCCTGCTGAGCAGAGAGCCTGATGCTGGGCTCGATCCCAGGACCCTGGGATCATGACCTGAGCCGAAGGCAGAGGCTTTAACCCACGGAGCCACCCAGGCGCCCCCAGCTGTAGTCTTTTAGAAATAGTTTTTCATTTCAATAATAGTCTTGGAAATAATGTTCTGAAACCTATAAAAATTCTATGTACAAGGTCTGTTGGCTTAAGTTTAAATTTACTGTGTGTTCAGTCTCTTCAGCCCCTTAAGACTTTAATAAATGAGAAAAAGAAGCCTTGACTATACAGAAACAGGCTCAGGGATGGTGAAAACCTGGAGTCTGATGGAGACTAGATCAAACAAGGGTAGAAGAGAAGTTGAGGTTTGCTTCTATTCTCTCTGGCCCCTGCTCAGTCCCCCAGAAACCCCGTCTCAGGAGTTAAGAGACCGGGACCCATCCTTAGATCGTCTCAGTCCTACGCTGTCTGCCCGTTGAATCCTAGATGCGTGTTTTGGACAAGCTGATGGTGGAGCGGCTCTCAGCGGAGAGAACCGAGTGCCTGAACCGCCTGCAGCAGCACTCCGACACCGAGAAGCACGAGGGAGAGAAACGACAGGTGAAAACCAGGATCTGTCCTAGGCTGGGTATTTACCCCTCCTCTCCACTGAGTTAAGACCATCACTGGAAACCCAGAGGCCAGGAGCCCATGAAAGCATTTGTAATGTGTAACATATCCTCTTTACAATGTCCTTTTGTTCATTTATATAATGAATAGAAAAGAACATGTAGTTCAGTCCTTTTGTTGCCGAATATTCTGGCAATAAGTGGAGACTAAACCGTTCACAGAATATGCTGGGGAAGCTGTGGTCTCTGCTTTGAATCACTTCTGTGTACTGTGCGTCTGTTGGGCATTGCTCTGTTGCTGAGCGAGGCCTGGTTCCTGCCCTTGGGGAGTTTGTCTCCCTAAGACAACATAAACTGAGTCCTTGTTGAGTGTGTGTGAGTTCATGCTCCTGAGCAGCCAGATACTCTTGATTTGTAGGATTTGGGAAGCTTTGGGTGTTAAAGGGGTCTCTTGCCCTAAGCCACTCAGATTATAGAAACTGTCCGGTTTGGTGCTGGGCGAAGCTTGGTCTGCAGAGGGCAGCAGAGAAGGCTGTGTGGCTTGTGGCGGGGAGGGAGGTAACACAGCTTTTAGGCGGGTCAAGATGATGCTCTGAACTATCATAACTGAAGAGTCCACTCTTGATGCTTTCCTTCATAAACCACATGTGCAACTCACCTGATCATTTGTGTGGGTTTGTGTGTGTGCGTTTTGTTTTGTTTTCTTAGATGTCACTGGTGGATGAATTAAAAACCTGGTGCATGTTAAAGATTCAGAATCTGGAGCTGAAGCTTTCTGGGGATTCTAGGGCCTCTAGGACCAAATCCACACCATCTACTTGCGAGTCCTCTACAGGTAACGCGTGTGCAGAGAGCACCATTCCACCCAAAGATGGTAAAACCCCCGAGATTGTTCTCTGCTGTATCCAAAGGCAGCCCCTAGGATAGGGCTGTGGAAAACACCAGATTGTAAATTCTATAGGGCTAAGGACATACGTTGCTTACTGCTGTACGTCCGGTTGCTATACAGTAGGAAAGTACTCCTATTTAAGGATTCAGACATATCTAAATGAAGGAGTAAAAGAATTGCTGACTGGTGATGACGGTGTTTCAGGTACAGTGTTGATGGGTCAGAGTAGGTCCCAAAGATGAAGAGTGAGGAATGAACATCTGTCTCCTTGGCAGGGCTCTTGCCCTGGCCCTTGGGCTACTTTCTCCTTTCTTCTCCCTGATCAGCCTTTGACCTTTTTCCAACTATGTAAAGCCTCCGTGAGCAGCAGTTCCTATATTGAGGCTGCCCCAAGGTGCTAGACAGAGACATCCTTCAAGCAAAGTGTCTTTTCATTAGCCACAGTGCTTTTACTCAGTGATAATTTTGAGGACACGTAGAGCCTTTGTAATTAGGCCTCTGTGAGGAATTCTCATATGTCAAGCATATTATGTTATTATAGACCATTTCTGGAACTGTGGTTTTTATCTTCTTTGTGCCCATAACATTGGGGAAAACCTGGGCAAATCTGTCATGCCAGGTCTCTTTATGGAACTTGGCTGGAGCTCTGGGTATAGAGAATATGACCACCTCACCAAACTGGGGCTTGAGTCAAGGAGCTAATAACTGGGGGTGTGGAAAAGGCCCAGAAATTAGGGAATGGGCAGATTCAGTATCGTCAGTACATACCCAGTTCTGTTTTGGAGATCCTTGCACATCCTTAGCAATCACAAAATGATACCCAGAACCTTCTAAGCTTTCTAACTGGCTAAAGGAAAGGCCAGCAACTTTTTTGGCTTAGATGCCACCAATGTTGTTAAGCCCTACCAAGCCAAAAGGATCATCGGGGGGAAGTGAAAGCGGGGAAGGCAGAGGAAAAACTGCACATGGTGGTGGGCCGTTGGGAAGGCTGACGGTTTACAGGATTATCAGGACTCTGAAATGCCAACCCAGAGCTACAGGACTGTGTGAATGTGGTTTTGTTTTCCTTCCGAAACTAGGTGTGGATCAATCAGTGGTCACTGCAGGTCCAGTAGCAGCTTCTGACAGTTCTCCTCAGGTGGTGAGGCCCAAGGAAAAGGCCTTCAACTCCACCGCTACCCACCGACTGCAGCAGGAGCTGTCTTCCTCAGACTGTACAGGCTCTCGACTGAGGAATGTCAAGGTCCAGACAGCCTTGCTACCCTTGAAAGAGGCAGCCAGATATGATCAGCAGGCTGGGCCCTGTGTTGACAGAGGCACCCAAACCAAGAAGTCCGGGAAAAGTGGGCAGACAAGGCATCGGACCCAGCACCCAGCACCCAGCACCCCCTGTGGGCTGCCGCCACCAGCAGCAGGCAGCGAGCAGACCGCCCCTCACATTCGAGACACCTCCCAAGCTCTGGAGATCACCCAGTATTTTTTTGAGGCCGTTTCTACCCAGATGGAAAAGTGGTATGAAAGGAAGATTGAGGAGGCACGAAGCCAAGCCAGTCAGAAGGCCCAGCAAGACAAGGCCACCCTGAAGGAACATATTAAAAGTTTAGAAGAAGAACTTGCTAAACTAAGGACGAAGGTGCAGAAGGAAAATTAGGACCTGGGGAGCAGCACAAGAAGGGATTCCTGGCTTTGCAGCTCTAGAAGAGCTATGGCCAACATGTCCGTTATCGCGCACGTGGCGGACTTGCCTTTGAAAAAACAGTCGAATTTCTGAAATGTGCCAGACCCATGCTTCCCATGCCCTGAAGTTATGACGACTTCAACAGTGAGACTGAAACCAGGGGACACTTGCTTAGTTGCAGGTTTCATTACAAACTCGTAACCTCAGACCAGGGTCATCTGAGGTTCAAAAGCTCAGATTAGGTGAGCCACGCTAAGCAACTGTATTATGCGTCGAGCCTAAACCCTAAATTCAGGATGTATGAAATAAGTCAAAAGGAAGAAGAAAAGCAAATCCCTTGTGAACGCCGGCGGCCGTTCATGTGGTGCACACCTGCTGGGCCCAGAAAAGAGTATCTTTCTGTAAGAACTGTGGCTGAGATGCACACATCCCCTCTCAAATTCCTACTTCTCAAAATGCTGACTTTTTAACCAGATGAAAACTTATCAAATAGATTTGGAGGAGAAAAAGATTTTCATGATGTCACTAGATCCAGTATATCTTAAAAGATTTTGCAGAGTCGGTGGGTACTTAAAATAATGAGGAATTGGCTAATAGCACTGGGAACGTTTGTTAATAAACTCAAATGAGAAACATTCAAATCACTGGTCATTGTTTCTGTATTTTCAGCCAAAATACAGTAATATTATGATTGATTAATCCTACTGATTTTAAAGATTAATGGAAAAACATTCATCTAAAAACTATCTGAAACTTCTATCCTTAATCACACCCGGTTATCCAAGAGTACCTTTCTAAATTTGAGCTTATCGGTCTACATTTTATAGAGAAGTAAGGCTATTTCTTTTGAAAGGATTTCACTTCTAATTGTGTCCTGTCATTAAAGAGCCTCAAAAGTTTCCCACTGCTTTGCAGTGATTCTTTCAAGGTAAAATAATTCAGTAACTTGAGCTAGACCCCACTGTTTCCCAGCTTTGTGGAGCCCTGAGGATTTTGCTCTGCTCTATGGAATACACAAAGTTGTAGAAGTGGCTTAGGTAGGTTGAATTTTGGATTTCTCTTCTATACTTCTTGTCCCTTGGTATGTGGGATTATATTCCTCTCTTCCAGATTCCATGTATGCACAGAAATCCCCATCCTAACAGCACAGGAATTGAGTACTGTTGTCCCTAACTTTGAGTAAAATGTTGCTCATTGAGCCAAAGAGAAAATGTTTTCCTGACATGGGCACACCCAGGAAAACACAGTATGTTTACAGTTCCTTTGTTTCTGCCTAATCAGGCTTGCAGTTATTTTTGTTTTTTAATAGTGACAATCTATGGACAGAGACCTTCCTAACAAATCTAGATCTAGATGTAGGTCACCAGTATACAACCCGAACAGGGAGTCAATGTCATGTCCTCTCCAGCTGATGTTCATGTCTGTGAGCTTGTCCTGTTCCTCAGCTACCGTCAAGGCTGTGTGGTTCTCCTGTAGGGACTCCTGTTGCACTGCTCCGTGGAGAGCCGCCTTCATCTCGTCATTCCCCTCTGCGCTCCTGAGGCAGAACCAGAGTGAGATGGTACCTTCAATTTCTCGGGTCCCCCAATCAGGCGTCATGGACAGCTTTAGAATCTTTCCTCAGTACATGTCCGTTTCCTGAGAACTGCCCGATACTCAGATGAAATCCTGAGATAGTAAGTTGTTGTCTAAGCAGTTCTTTCCACTCATTAAATACATCCTGTTACCCCAACAAGTATCCTTGTTGAGAAATGCTGAAAACAAATGAAATTTGATCTCAACCATAGAGTGCTTTGGAAGGAAGGATTTTGCTTGTGTACCCTCCACCCATCAGAAGGAGGTGGCTTATCACTGCTAACTGGGTATTTTTGTCCAGGTCCCAGGAAGAGACTAGGGAGGAATGAGAAGAGTCAAAGGCACCTGGTCTAACAGAAGGGAAACCCAGTAGAGGCAGGGAAACCGAACACCATCAGTCAGCCTCCCAACCCAAAATGGGGGCAGCATCTCTAGACTAATGGCTTATTTTCAAAAACTGGGTCTTTGTTCTTTAGTATTGTCAAAAATTCAACTTTGGGTCTGATAGGTGTCTTACTTTTCCCTTCTGCTATCTGCTACAATGAGTGAATGCCACCCTAGTACTCTTCCAAAGAAGCAAAACTATTAATTGAGAGTCTGTCATGTGGGTCGTGTTTGAAACAGAGACTGGAACTTTCAATAGCTACGGGGGAAAATGATGTAGAACACAGAAAAGTGGTATAATACTGCAGTGGGGTTTTTGTTAGTGAATTACTGCACTGAGTAAACTAAAATCTGTGGTTAGATTGAATAGAAGTCCAATCTTACTTTTACCTCTGGGAGCCCAAAATAAATTGATGTCTTCATGCTTAAATCTTTTTTTTTTTTTTCCAGTCAAGCACTGATACTTGAGAGATATGTTGTCTTCTATTTAATATTTTTATTACCTTGAATTTGTCTCCTCTAAGCATTAAACATGGTTCTCAACATTATGGATATTAAAATCCTTATTTAAAAAATGCAAGTGTGAATATATAGTGGATATTTTTGATTGGTTGACCAAATTTATGGTTCCCAGAAAGAGTACCTTCATGCAGACACACTTTGCCTTGTTTTGATAGAAGGGTAACTTCTGGTAAATACATCTGGTTTAAAGTAGAAATCAGGTGTACTGCATGAAAAATAAATTTTGGAAATTATGTAAATACTTCTCAGTGCAAGCTTTAAGTTTTTTTTTAATTGTTGACCTTTAGAAAATACTGAACCAAGAGAACAAAACCTCGCTTAAAACTGTATGCAGGCAAAATAACATTTTCTAACAAATTATTCGTAAAAGCTAAATACATTTCTTCCTGTGATAGAAAAGCCAAATCTATTAAGATTTAGAAGACAAAACCAGGGACCTTTTAGAATACTTATAAGAAAAAAATTTCAAATTGTTTTCTGTTGATTTTAAAGGGGAATATTCTTCTGTAATATTGTCAAAATATGGTAAGTATGAATATATTAAATCCATGAGACACATAATCGGGAAACAACACAGAAATTTTCCTAATGCAAACCAGAATAGGTAAAAAGCAATTTCCTCTTCCTTGTAAACAAAAATAGCAATTTAATCCTGACAGAATTGCTCAAATGCCTGCCTGAAGGAAGGAAATAGGCTATGGTGATTTCGAGTTTGGCACGAAGTGACGGTTTTTGATTCTGCTTGGACCATACCTTACTTTACATAATCCCAGTGTTTTTCCACAGTAGATGTGAGCCATTTCCTTCTGTTGTTTGACTAGCATTTTTCTTCTGTAAAAGAGCATTTAGGTAAGTGTGGGTCTCACCCTCTCCTGAGTGTCTGCTTGTGTGACTCCGATAATATAAACACCAGAGAATATGTGATTTCCTCAAACAGAACGGCCTCTGCAGGCCCACCCATAGCAAGGCCTGTGCTGAGTTTAGAAACTTCCAACCCGAGGGTACACTTCAAAGGAGGTAATGACATAGGGATACTCAGGATGCTAAATGATAGCCCTAGCTACTTACCCTCATGCTAGAAAGCTCTGATATTAAAAAAAATCTTAATATAAAGATTTGACTTATTGTAGTTCAAATACATAGACTGAACAAGTACCTTAAAATTAAACTTCAGGAACAAAACTTCCAACATTCAGATAAGAGTATAGTTGTGGGGTTGTTTTGTTTTAGAGGGTGGGTAGGGAATGAGGGAGAGGGAGACTCTTAAACAGACTCCAGGCCCAACACAGGGCCTGAGGCAGGGCTCGATCTCATGATGCTGAGATCATGACCTGAGCCAAAACTGAGATGCTTAAACCGACTCAGCCACCCAGGCGCCCCCATGCAAGTATAGTTCACAGGGAATACCCAGAAGGGTAATTTGTTGTCTAAGCCAGAACACCGACAAAGATGCTAAATAGAATGTGTTCTACCAGGAGTTAGAACCTGGCCATCTTAATGAGCATGGTTTCATAGGGGAGGAGAAACTGTTGTTTAGCCTAAGATGGATTTAGCGCTCAAACGCTGTCCATTATTAAAGGTTATAATAATCTTAGCCTCTGGAAAATGAAAATTCAATTTTGTCGTGTTTCGCCCAATTTAAAAAAAAAAAAACAAATCCCAAGTTCTGTTTTCTTGGCATCTGTTAATTGCATCTTGCAAACTTAAACCACAAATGCTCTTACATCTTTGACCTACAGCGCTGCTAGGAAGAATGTCACCAAGTCACTGACTTCTACACCTCATGAAAAGGTGATTTGTAGTGTCAAGATTTTAGATTTACTAAAAGTTGCCTATACTTGAACAGGTGTATCATGCTGCAAGAAGGAGAGTGCTTTCTGTTCACAGACTGTTCACAAAGGCTTCTGCCCATCAGATGGCTTGGCAATAGCTTGACTGATGTAAGGCTACAGACAAATCTGATCATCAGCCTATGCATTTTGGCAGGCGAGAATTCTACCACTGAACCACCCATGCAGCTCATGCATTTTGAATTAGATAACCTGGCTGAAGAACATTCAGAATTATTTTATCTTGTGGGCTGAGCCTGTGGAGCCGGCAATGCAGGCAGGTCATGGATGAACTCCTCCTGCTGCCTCTCTCTTCCTTCTGGTGTGCAGTCCAGTACTAGGTGACCATTTATCATTCTGCAGAATTTCTCCTAGATTTTTCAGGTGCTGGTCAGATTCTGGGATTACCTTTTTAGATCTGTTCTGTAAAAGAACAGAGGACATCCGTCTGTGGGGACTGCCAATCCCGCCTCTTCCATAAGCTTTCACTTTCACTAAATTAACTGTTGTACATTATTTGGTCAGAGTATCCTCAGGTCAACTTCTCGTCTCCAGTGTATTCTGCAAACTTTCTCTTCCTGTCACTGGAGGAGAACCTAATGCACCAAGGATCTTCCCTGATGCTCTCACTTCTATGCGGAGGCTAAGATAATTGCATTAGTTTCATCCAGATGTTGTTGCCTCTTCTTTTTGGTAAGTGCCTCAATGTGTTCATTAAGCTTCTCTCTTCTTTCCAACAAAGATCTATATTCCCAGTGATGATGTTTTCAGAGAATCCTTGGATGACTGGATCATGACCCATCTGAGGAACCCTCAGTAATGCAGGAGGATTTTTTCAAGAAAGGTCCAGGGCATCTCCCGAGGTCAGTATACTTCCATACGTCTCATACGGTATGTTTCTTAAAATACTTACACAGTATTCTATGTCAATTCTACATCAGCCAAAAAATCCATAAAACCTTTACTGAAGTATAATTCATATACATGCAAAATATACGATTCAATGGACTTTAGTATAATAAGAGTTATGCAACCAGGAGCCCCACTGTAACTTTAGAATGTTTTCATCACTCAGAAAAGAAACCCCATATCCATTAGCAATTACTTGCCATGCTATCCACACAGACTTGGGCAACCACCTCTTTCTTCCTATTTTAGATACTTCATACAAATGGAATCGTACAACGTGTGATCATTTGTGACTGGTCTCCGGTTCATCCATGTGTAGCAGACATGTTATCAGTACTTCATTCCTTTTTATTGCTAAATAATATTCTACAGACATCGTATTTAATCGTTTTCTCAGTTGATGGGCCTCTGGATTGCTTCTACTTCTTGGCTATTATGAATAATGCTGCTATGAATATTCCCGTACAAGTTTTTTATAGAAAGATTTTCAGTTCTCTTGGTTATAAACCTAGGAGGAAACTGCTGACTTGTGTGGTAACTTAATCTTTGAAGCAACTGACAGTTTGTTTTCCAGAGTGGCTGTGCCATTTGATATTCCCACAGCACATATGAGGGGTCCAATTTCCCTACATCTTTATCAATATTTGCTACTAACTGTTTTAGTTGTATTTATTCCAATGGAGGTAGTTACTGTTTCAGTGTGGTTTCAATTTGCATTTCCCAGAGGGTTAATGATGTTGAGGATTGTACGTGCTGACCATTTGTACTGGTTTTTGCTACTTGAACTGCTGACATATCCAAAAACATTTGCAAAAACAATTTCAAGGGTATGTTTTTCAGTGTTAAGGCGATTGTTCTGATGTGCTTTTCTTTGCTCTGACCTGCCGTGCTCCGTGTCCTGACATTCTCCCAGGTACTGAACAGTCTGACTTGCTTTTAGGCTGCCCATCATTGAGTCTAATCAGCTCAACGATACACATGGAAACTCTGAAATTCAGTGTTTCAGAATGATGCTACAGTTAAGATTTTGCCAAAGCAAGGGTTTTTTCTAGCTCTTTGAGCTGCATATTGCCTTGAGTAATCATCATCCGGATTGTGTCCTGTAGAAGAAAGTGAAAGCTGGTCACTATTTTACTTGGTTACACTAGGTACAGCTCTATCATTTCATTTGTTAGGGACCAACACAGAGAACTGGAGCCACTGTGTATTGGGAAAACCCCAAACTGCACAGTACTTGGCATGCTTTCATAAACCCCAGTCATCATACTTCCCAAACCGTCATGCTGTCTTATTTATAATCTTTTCACGTGTGTGTATGTATATCTGATTTAAGAGAAAAGTCAGGTGACGATACTGTAAAGATCATAAAATTTCAAATATCATTTGAGTGGAAAATTGGTAACATTAAAAGGAATGATGAAGATGTAGATACATCTCCATGATCCTTATATTCCAAAATGTCTATTAAACTTAAAAAAAAAAAAAAAATTCAACTAACACAAAACAGTCAGGGCTTGTCCTCACCATGATCTTGTTCTCACCTCTTCAGTGGCACTTTTATTTCTTTTGAATTCTTCCCTTGCCCAGTCCTTCAGGTATTTGCGATCAGAATCATTTGGAACTTCGCGAATTGCTTGCAAAATCCTTCTGTAGAGAAGGAGAACTTGTTGCCTTCTCATGAACTGTAGAGGAGGAGGAGAAATGTCAATTACAACTGCAAAATCTACAGCCCAGAGGGCTGTACTTTAGGAAACCAAACAAAATAGATGACTTCTCTTTGGTCCTCAATTTTGAAAAGGACAAAGAAAAACTTCCCTTTTAAGAAAAAGGCAAAGAGTATATTTGGGCTGTTTGCTTACTACTTTATCAAACCTAAGAACCCTTAACATCAAGAGATGACCACTGAGCAGAGAAAAGACTACCAGTTACTAGAGGCTGTACCTACAGTAACAGCACTTTTTTTTTTTTTTTTAAACCAACGCAGTTAAAATTCTTTGGCGATCTCACTCTTTACCATAGCTCTGACTTCACCGTGGCCGAGGCATCAAAGTTCCAAGATATCCACAGCCCGCCCGCCTCACTAACCCAGCCAGGGCCAGAGGGCAGCCCCCTTCTCCCCACCCCCACAGCCGGCTTCCGCATCAGGAAGTCCCGCCCCCCCCACCCACTCCGCAGGGTGGGGTGGATAATTGAGATCAGATCAAGGAAAGCTGCCCTAAAAGGCTGACAAAAACGGGCGCTACCTGCTTTAACGTCAGTGTCGCCGGGGGTAACCGGGAAGTAGCCATTTCCTCCAGGTAGCACCGGTCTCCCTAGAACTCCAGTGCGCAGGAGCGGAAGTGGCCGTGTAACCGGGGGCGGGGCTAACCTGGTTTCCCGGGAGACAGGCTGCTGGTTACAGTTGGCCGCCAAATCACACTTTGTCTGAACTGAAGCTATAAAGCTTTGGGCAGTTTTGTCCTAGAATACACTTTCTGGGGGTTGCGAGGGGGATAGCAGTTCTTGCGTCACAAAGTTGTGATAATAGTAATGGTAAGGCAACTGGCCCAGTTCCTGGCACTGGTTAAGTTAGAGAGTGAGGGGTGAAACTGTGTATTCCCATTGAGCTTTTTACATGTGCATAGTTAGAAATAAAAATTTTAATGTTTAATGTTTTGTGTCCTGTTCTTTTGTCTTTTTTTCCTTGTTTTCATCCTGGTCTTTTGTTTGCAACCATGGTAGCATCTTCGTGGTTGCCATTAGTTATGTTCTTAACTGTAAGGTTATTTTACCAACAAAAGCGGGTTTACCTGGGAATAGAGAATTGCAGTTGGGGACATGTAAGCTATGGAAAAACTACAGGCAAGTCTGATAAAGGAGAGGAACTTATTTTACAGAGATGGAAGTTGAGAAGCGGTTGTTTTGAAAAGTCCATTGGGAAAAAGCAAGATGATTTTTCATGGAGTTGCAAGGGTAGCTGATTTCTTGCACACTGTGCCTCTCACATCTTTTTCCCTCTTGGGGCCTGTAATTGTTTAACTGTCGACCTGCTGGGATCTATAACTGGCACGTCTGTGTAATTCATCACTCTTCCTGGAAGGGACACTGAGTGGTTGGTCCAGCTTTCCTTTCTAGTCTCCCAACTCTACTTCAACAAAGTTTCCCTTTATTAATTTTCTCATTAATTCTGAGGTTTTAAATGGCTGCTCCATTGTAGTTATAACAATTTTGTATCACTAGTAATGAGGAACTGAATGTCCCCACAACTTAAGCTTTTATTTCCTCATAATTGTTTTATCCTCCCAACACACACATGCCCTTAATTTATGTAAGTAGGTAGGGTTGGTGAATCTTTGCTATAGTTTGTCAAATAGAATTTTCTGAATTACAGCCAAAAATGTTCATTTGGTTACCCATTTGCTGAGCATTTACTTGATTGCCCACTTGCTGGAATCCTTTGGTGTCCCTTTTTCCTAGTTGTGTCGTCTCAGCAACCTCACCCTCTCCTGGCCTCCTTCCTCATCTGCAAAGTGAAATGCGATCTACCTCAGAGTTGCGCTGGGCCTAATGCACTGAGAACAGGACCTGCCACATACACTCCCAGTGCCTTTCTGGAACATGACCAGGTATTGAATGGGTGATGCTAACTATGCCTACTTTTTGAAGTTTTGTCTCGTTGGCAAGAACAATTCTTATAAAAATTCATGAAATAGCCCTTGCCACCCACTTTGTGAATTGTCATGACTGGTCCAGTTATGGTAATCAAGGTTTGTATTCTAATTTTGTATGGCTTGTTTGCCTGTTCTTTAAGAAAGTTGTTTATATTAGTTTTAAGAAGTTTCTATATAAGTCTTGTATTTTTCTTTTGAGGCTTTCAATTTCAGTTTCTCCCCTAAAGAGCTTTGCAATCCTACATTATTGTCTTCATTGTTAATTTTTAAAATATTTACTCCACCTAGTTTGCTTTATGGCCTGATGTGGATGTTTAACTTTTTTCCAATTGCTACACTAATTTTGATAACATTTATTAAATCTTTCTTCTTGGGCTTTGCCCATTAAGGTAGATTCTTTTAGGGTCTGAACAAACTGTTCGGGGTTATTTCATGTAACCCTAGAATATTTTATTATTTGGCTGGCAGGACCAACACCCTGTAGTTTCTTAAGAATCTTTTGTATCCTTTCCCTCCCTTTTCCCATCACAGCGCAAGCTGAAAAGAGTACTCTTGGGTGCCCGCTGGGAAGCTCCAGCTTACCTGGTACAATTTCAAAGGTAGATGTGATAGACCACATCCTGGTCAGAATGGTGGTGTCTTTCCCTACCTGACCCATCACAGAGGGCTACAGCCAATGAAATGTGAGTGGAACAAACATGTCATCTGGAGCAAAATCTTCGCAAGCCAGTGTGTTTTTCACCAACTTACCTTTTCCTCTGCCACGAGGCCAGCATGTGTCAGCTAAACCACTGTGGACATGAGACACAAATGAGAGACCCTTGTGGCAGTAAGCCACGGACAGCCGACTGATGGAGCAGGCAAGATCGTCCGCTAGCGTACCTTTTACATACCTGTCATGTTCCCATTCAGAAGGGTCACAAGTTATATCAACAGTGGTATATATTTAATAATCTTCAGAATATAAGCTGCATAGCTTTTTAGAATAAAAAATAATATAACCTCAGGTACATGCTTTAGGACACTTGGTTAAACAACAAGCAATTTGTCTTTGATGACCACCTCAAAAGTGTGGTAAACTTCACAGTGTAACTTGAAAACAAATGTGGAGATAGACAATTATATCAGGGCATGTTGTCTACAAAAGAACATTCCAACAACTTAAATAGAACACAGCACAAAATTTCAAGTATTCAAGCAGTGCTTTCTGACCAAGTAAAAACCGTCTAAAAACCATTGATGTATTTTGACTGGGGAAAAAAAATTGTAGCTGCTTAGTTTTTCTAAATACAGCATTTCTTTTCCAGAATGGGGCTGGCTCAGTCCAGCTTAAAAGCAGTGGAGGAATGATTCTTCCCCTTAATTGCTAAGGAAAAAATAAAATAAAGAAATAAATACAACAACAGGGACTGTGGCACAGAGAGAATGAGATACCTAAGGGACAATCAGCTTTCCATCATTGCATAGTCTCCCGAAGCAGCAAACATGAAGGACAACAGAAAAGCCACTTCATTTTTATACCATCCAGTAAGAACACATATACCCCAACCTTCCTACCCTCAAAGAGAAGGCAGTTCCTGTTACATGAAACGCAGTGAGAAAACACACACCCTCAGGACTCTAGAAAATGGCCGCTCAGTGTCTTTTGGCAGGACACGGATACACACTGTGGGCTTGAAGGTGGAGCCTTAGAGCAGGGTCAAAAGGGCAGCTGCTTTAGTCCTTTGTCCAAAGGACTGGAACTGTCCTATTCTCCTAGCAGCTTCTCCAGGTAGGTGTTCTGGAGTCCTGTGAGGAGCAAAAGTAGCTTGGCCCAGGCCTCCTCTTAGGCTGGGCCTTCCAAGACCAGACACAACCACTGAAGTTCCTTCACTGTGACAGCTGGAGCCCAGGCAAAGCAGACAGCCCAGGCTCTCTCTAGCTCAGAAAGCACAGTGTAAAACAAAATGTAGATCGTAATCAAACTTTGTCATTATTAGGTGAATTTTTATAAATCAGACAGATTTAAGATAAAAAGCATATTTAGAGCTGCGAGTTCAGAAGCACTTGTCCAAAAGAGGGAGCACCTGGCCAAAGGCGCCGCAGTCTAACCACGGTTTAGAGTCTCATCTTGGACTGTCCCTTCTCTACGGGCGGTCGGAGGCCGCCACCCATTCAAACCACTGCCTCAGAGCATCGCTGAGAGTCTCGGGGAGTGCATTCACATCACGAAGAATGACATAGAAGGGGAATGGAAACTCTTCCATGTAGGATCGGATTTCGGGCATCTCTCCGGGTCCTTTAAATATTGGTACTTTAATGTCCAAGATAGAATCCTGTCAACAGAAAACATTTTGAAATTAACAAAACAGTATCCTTGACTAGCTCTTCCCTGATCTCTTTCACTAACGATCTTTAGGTCTCCTATATCAAGTCTGCTAAAGCTTTTATTGCTTAGCTTTTTATTTTTATTTTTTACTTTTTTTTATTAGCTTTTATTACTAAGGAACAATTTTTAGAACTCCTATTGAGGAGGCAGATCCCTTTCTGTGCACCTTTTCCAGGAGAAGTGACATTGAAAGGGAGGGAAAAGGGCAGACAAGAAAATCCAATTTTCCTATAAGGGTATTCTCTCATTTACTATTTGGATAATTCACAGTAAGTCTTCCCACTTGTTATCCAGGCCCTAACGTGGCTTGCAGAGACAGTGCTGTCCCTGGAACAGAACTGACCCATGAGCATCTTTCACTGAGCACTGCTGCATCCTGCTCTGAGAAGGGCACTGCTGGGATCCAAGGAATAGCAATGGGCTGCTCTACGGTTTCAAGTGGGCAAGAACGGTGTCAAGGCTGCAGTGCCTGCAAGGACACACTGTGAAGGGCAAAGATGACACAAGAGTAGGAGTTGGCACGGCAAGTGGTTAGGAGGGTGGTCTCTGGAATCTGTCTGAATTCTGGTTTTCCTACTCGTTACCTATAGTCTGTGTTTCTGGCCTTCACTGGAAAGTGGGAATAATGACCCCTACCCTCACTGGGTTATTTGCAAAAAACTAATATCATATGACAGAACATCAGTAGGAGCTGTGACAGATTTCAGAGAGAACAGGTTGAAGGGAATCCCCACTTTATCCCCAGATAAAGCAACTTTTAGGGGTCACTCACCCGGGAACTGGGATTGTCCAGTACAACAAAAATGACAAAGATGTTAGCATTCCGGGCGGCCTGGACTGCCGCTAGGACTCTGTCCTTGCCTTCGAGGAAAAGGCCACGTCCATCAGAGACCACCAGGAGAAGCTGTGCGGTTTCTAGAGTAGAACACATAGCAGGAAAGGAAAAAGGGAACAAAACAAAAATCGCACTTTTAACAACTCAAACTGACTTGAAGACATGTTAGTGTAGGCTTTCTCTGTACTATTAACCAAACAGGTATCTGAAACTGATGAATTCTGGACATAGGCGAAAGGGACATTACTTCAGATGCCCCAGTCAGACGTAAGGCTGCAAAAGACCTATGCAGCTTCGGCCAATAAAACAATGTCCCTGTCGCATTAGGTCAATTTCATTGTATAGCAACAGAGGAGAATTAAAACATATTTATGGTTATAAAGGAGGGGTGCCTGAGAGGCTCAGTCGATCAAGCATCCAGCTCTTCAGCTAAGCTCATCATCTGGGGTTCATGAGACTGAGCCCCATGTT